CCCTCAGCGCCCGGGCCGCCCCCGGCCCGCTCCTCCCCTCAGGCCCCGGGCCGCCCCCGGCCCGCTCCTCCCCTCAGCCCCCGGGCCGCCCCCGGCCCGCTCCTCCCCTCAGCGCCCGGGCCGGGCCGCCCACCCGCTGCCCGCCCCCGCCCTCTCTCCTTCCCTCAGGCCCGAGGGCCGGCTCCCCGCCGTTAAGCCGCCTCCCTCAGCCCGCCCAGCGTAGCTGAGGGAAAAGTCACCTCGGCCACGTCCCCTAAAATTTTGTGAAGCGACTGTTTTCCCCGTCGAGCATGGCGGTCGCGCCTCAGAGGAGGGAGAGGGCGGGGGGGGGCAGGAAGGAGATAGAGGTGGCCTTTGAGGCGGCCATGGGGTCCCAGAGATGGGGTGAGGCCTAGGCCGTGGGCCCCTCGGCGAAGGGTGCCGGGGGCTTGGGCTCTGCCTGGCCAAAGGCTGGGGTCTGTGCAGCACAGAGCTCCCAAAACGGCCCGGCCATGGAGGGGAGCGTGCCAGGCATGGAGCCACGGCCAAAGGCTCCATCTCCAGTTTCTGACAGCCCCCAGCAGCTGCCGGGGCAGCCCCATGCCTCGGTGGGGCGTGAGGGAAACGGCTCCAGCAACAAGTCTCACTCACACGTGCTCTGCTGCAAAAAAACCATCGGGTTGTTTGGGGGTTTTTTTGCCTTCCTGGATGGTAAAAACTAGTTGAAATTCCTTACAAAGGAAGTACCGGTGTTAGCAAGAGTTTTAGTGCCCTGAGTTTGCCCAGCTTAAAACTGCCCTTACGAGAGCATTAGTTGGTTTTAGGGTACTTGGTTGATTTGGTGCTTAAATAATATATTTATGTGTTCAGCTGTCTTGCTCGCCTCTCAGGAGTGGAGCTTGATTCAAGTGATCATAATGTACAATTTAAGTGCAACCAAGTTTAACACGAAATCCTGCATTTCAAGATCTCCCTGGCACCAATCTGACTCCTCCTTCCGCAAACAACAAATTTTCACCTTTACAGTGGGCGACAAGCATTTGTTTCTCTCTCAGTCAAGTCTACAAAGGGTATTTAGCTGCCACAGTAGACCTTTTCTTAAAGGAAATACTGGTGAAGCCACAGTACAAGAGTTCGAACGTCTGGTGGCAGAACAGAGGTGCAGTAGGACCTCTCGTCCCAGCACACTCCAAGTTTAGTTGGGAGGAAAGGTGGATCCAAACCTGTCATCCCCGTCAAACCAGAACCTGCAGGCTGTTCCTGGCATTTCCCAGAGCAGATACGCTGCCCACTGTTTGGGCTAAGCTCTCTTCATTTTCCCAAAACTCATGGCAACACCAGAAAGACAGAACCAGAGAGCCCTTAAGTATGTCAGTAGCTGCGAGAAGTCATTGAACAAACTGGTTTTGAGTGTCAACAGTAAGACTTTATTTCAGGTGATCTCTTAAGTAATTTAAGACATCCTCTGTTGTTCATTGTACCCCCCAGTTCAGTGAACTATTTCATTCGCTGGTGTGCTCGTGTAGATTTACCTTGGAAGTGTTTGCAGGAGGCTAAAACCAGTTCTGTAGCTAAGGAAAGAGGGATCGAAAACCTTTTCACTGTTTTCATTAGTATCACTTTGCCGCTATTAGCAAATACAAAGACAATGAAATAGAGTTTCTCTTGGTTTAGGATGGTGCTTAATGGAAAATTTGCATCAGTCTTGGTAAATCTTTCTCCTGTAGTGGTGGTTTCCTCTGGCTGCCGGGCTGCAGGAATTTCTTTATTGTAGGGATATTACTTATTCTTGCCTTAAAACTCTACAAAACAAAACCAAAATCAGCACTGTCCTTAACCTTAATCAGCACTGCCAGAATTTTAGATGCTATCCATGCTCTAAAAGTAACATTATGCCTTGATCCTGCAGAATAATCTATATGATTCATCCTATTATGCTTTTGTGGCTATAGTGACAGCAGGCAGTAATGACCATCACTATTTGGGTAAAAGTACTTAGGAGACATGATTTTGATTTTGTCTTTCACTTCTTTCCTCACCCTCCCACTCTCCCATATCTCTCAGCCAGTTTAAACCAGTGGTTCTGCTTTGAGTCATTTTCCATGAAAACTGTACATTCAATTACCTGCAAGAGAGGAAATTTGGCAAGTATATCAGGCTTGAACTCTTCTGCCGTTAAAAGGACTTCAAGTAATTGCACGTCTGCCCTGCTAAAGCAGTTGCCAACAAGGAAGTCTTGTCCGTGGTCTTTCAAAACCTAGAAACAGAGAACCAGAAGTAGATGTGATTTTTTTTTTTTTTTCTCTGTGTGACTTAATATATCTTCCAAGCAGGGTCATGGTAGAGGGGGGTCTGCACTTCAGGAGGAAAATTTATATGAAAGCTGATGTGTCTTTTGCCTGAAGCAACATATAGACCGAAACATGGACATTTGGGAAGCTCAGTGTGCCCTGGGTTTTTGCAGCTCTGCAGATTTGTAGTGCCTTCTGTCCCCTCTGTAGTGCCCTGTCTGCATCCAGTGTCCTCTCCCCACCAAAACCATAGCTTTTATATTTAAGTGGTAATTTTTCTGTGCTGTTTTCCTCAATAAAAATGTTTGTGTAGATGCAGGATGGAGTTTCAGGAAAACAGTATTAATTAAGCAACTGTATCTTTGCCACGTACCTTCTCATAGACTGGGAGGTATCTGTTTGTGGCCTTGTCCAGGCTAGTAGCTAAATGTTGCTCCTTTTTATCCGCTGGTTGGAAGAGATAGGTCATGAGTAACTCGTTCAGATCTATTATTCCTTCCACGTACATATCAATTCTGAAAGGAATAGATCCAGTTGGTCAAGTCAAGTCAAGTCAGACACAGTAGGTCTAGAGAGCATGGTAGCTACTGGCGTAGCTTGGAGCAGTTCCCCCCGGGGGCCAGTAGCTCTGGGTCTATATAATTCTATATATTTTTAACAAATATCTTGAAATGTGTTCACCTGTGCTAATTTACTTGAAGTGTTTAAAAATACTTTGGGTCAAACCATGTGCCCTAAGAACCCTGTCCTTTAATAACCAGTTATTCATTCTATTTCCTGGATATTAGAGAGAGAAGTTTTTTGTTGCCATCAGTGGCATTTCCCTGAATTTGATGCGGTGACAACGCCTGCTGCTGCCAGCCTCAGGAGAAAATGAAAAGCAGCATCAGTAAGAAGGTCTGCACTCCTGCCTGCTCTCTTCTGGTGACCATATTGACCTTCATGACCTCCCTTGCACCATCCTGCCTATCTAATCTGCCTGGTTATTACTCTCGTAGACATCACCCACAGGTACCAGCAGCATGTGCTGCCTGAAAAGCTGCTGTGTCACCCCGAATCTGACTGTGAGCTTGGCTGTTCTTGTGTTACACAGAGAGGTAGCATGAGCTGTGGTCTAACAACAGAGGAGGTGGTGTTACAGTACAGGGCTCTCTCCTTCAGGTCCTTCCCGTAGAGGTTGTACTTTGCTGCTATGGAGTTGGCGATGACTCTGGTCTGCCCCATCTGCATCCCATCTATCTCCTCCACGGGCACTTGCTGGAACAGCAGGGATCCATCTAAGGAAAAGGGAACAAGACAAGGAGGGGTTCAGTCTCTGAATGAGAGCCATTCGTGGGTGTTTGGCAAAGTAACCATATTATTTTTGATTTGTGGCAGTCTTCCTCACTCTCACAACACGGTGTGGAAAAAAGCATACTATGAAGCCAAGAACCAATTTTCAGTGACATGTTAATAACATAAGATTATAGCAATCAGCTTCTTGAAGTTTATTCAAATCTGAAGAAGCACTCAAATGCAGAGCTTTTAGCAGTCCTACACTGAAAAAGACAAGTCCTGCACTGCGTGGCCCTGGCTCAGATATCTTCATGGAGGTTAATACAGCTGAGAAAGACTGAAGGATCTGACCCATAACGAGCCTATTTCTGTCATGCTTTGGTAAATATTGTGGAAATCTGGACTGTTCAAAGGCTTGTCAACATATAAGGTGAATGTAAATGCATATAATATTATCTTTGTGACTACTTTATTGACTTTATACAATGACATAAATCTGTACGGGTGTGCAGCAGGGAATGATGGGTGGGTTTCATGAAATTCCCCTGAGAGCAAATATCACTTGGTGTCAGGCTGTAGCCATGTAAATCCCTTACTAGTCTACTACTCTGCAGAAGCCTTATTCTAGTGAGGCAGAAGCTGAAATACCTCCAGGAACTGATCAGAGAAGTGAGTTAAGAATATTTGCTTTATAAAATCACACGTCTTGACTCAAATATCTGATGAACTACATCCATCTTTGTATCCACCGTAAGGCAAGCATGCAGAGAACTGCCTGCTGTTAAGGGCACATTTTCATTTATGCTTGTGTCTCAAAATACTTTTTGAAAGCCAACAGGGGGATCCAGTCATCGTTCCTAAAGGAGAGCAAGTGAAGGCAGAAGAAGCTGGGTGTCTGACACCGTCTAACACACTGCAGTGTGATACCTCATGTACAGTCCAGTCTAGATTTTCCTTCTGAGAGACATAAGACTTCTCAGGCGTTCTAAGATAAACTACTATCATCATCATCTAGTTATTAAAAGGTGAAGGAAGCTTACCCGTCCGTAACTTTGCCAGATCATCTTTTGTTTCCAGAAAACATTCTTCAAACTGCAGGAAATACAGAAGAAAAGCTGCGTTGTCATTGCATGTTTTAACTTCTGCTTTGCACGAGAGAGCGAGGGCACAAGTGGAAGTGGCATCTTTAAAAACTTATTTTGCCTCTGTCACATCCTCTCCTCTCTCACGTGCGATTCATATTTTTGTGCAGGTAAGATTTTGGCTAAAGCTGAAGCTACTGAAGGCACAAAGCCCTGCCTGCTGGGCAGAAGATGACCACGCTGCTGCTGGTGCTGGTGCTGGCAAGAGATGGTGCAGGCAGAGGAGAGGACAGGGAAACATGCGCTGCAGCAGCAGAGCTGTGTTATGGGTCCTTGGCCATGAGCTGGCAGAAGGAGGGATGAAGAGAAGAGATCACGTGCCCCGTGCAGCTTTCTGGCACGTTGCCCATCACCAGGACAAAAACTCACAGCTCTTAAAGCTGTGATCCCCAGCTCCCACAGCACAGATCCCCACGCTCCCTCTCCAGTTTAATATCAGAAATGGTTAGAGCTAAAACTAATTACTTTGTGGTTTATAATATACAGTACCTTCAGGGGTAAGCTACGTTGTACTAGACAAAATAATTTTTGGCTCTTTTGGACATTGGGATTTAACTGAAGATCTTCAGAATTGGAAGTGTTCTACCACTGTAACCAGAAGATAAGAAGCCAGGCTCTGCTGCTGTGGTTTTAAATTATTTCTTTCCCTAGCTCCAGGGAAGAGGCATTTATGGTGCCACCAGCACAGCTGGACGCTTGGAAGTGAAACGTTAACTTGCCCCCCTGCTTAGGGTGAGCTGGTGGGCATTGTTGGCTTGGTCAGCAATGCACTAAAGGCAGAACTCGAAACTGCTGGTCGGTCGCATTTTTGATAAGGAACAGTAAAAATCCCTACCTGTCACATGCTCTTAGTATAGAAAAAGGAGGCAAACCTCAACCCCGGCTGCTGCCAGCAGCCACCGTATTGATTCCATCCGGCCTCTCGCGTTGCAGTAGTGCAGCTTGGGTTTCCCAGACATGTTTCTATGTGCCTGATTTCCCACTACCTGGAATAAAGAAGTAAGTTGAGCAAAATAAAGATTCAGAATGCTGGTTGTGAGTCTCTAGCTCATTCGCAAGCATTGTTCAAAGTTGTCTTGTTTGAAACCAATGATTTATGGTCCAAGACTCTCATCAAATTAATAGGGGAGGTAAAAGACTATGTTGAGAGACTGCTTTGCATCGTTTTGCCTTAAGATGTCTTTTCCGTGCGCGGTTCAGTTCAGCAGAACTCCGTGCTGAGAGAGACTGCCCCGTGTCAGAGAAGAAGCAAATAAATCGAAACCCGTTTGCATCCCAAAGCGTTCTGCTCCGACCAGAAGGCAGGGTGCGTGGGGTACACTGCTCTGTGTCTTATGGCACCAGCTCAGGGGACAGTTTACTCAGATACACAATATAAACTCACCAGTTGCTGTGCTTCCTCCAGCAGTCACTATGTAACTCCATTATAAAGTGACAGGAAGGATATTTCCCCCCCCACAACATTGTAAACATTCAGTATCTCATTTACAACACTCCCCACACTCCTCGTTTCGTCAGGTGAGCACCTGAAGATGTGGAACTTAACGTTGTCTCTGGTAACATTAAGAGGGGCAAAACACAATACCTGACCTGCTCCATTCCAACCCTTTGCTGGAATTTAAAGCAACAGGGGTTTTTTGGCAGACTGTCACCCTCCCCCTTCAGAACCAGTGCAGGCAGAGAAGCAGCAAACACAGAGACAGTGCCTACTTTATACTAGCTTCACAGTTAGTCATAAACCTTAGTTTATACTAGCTTCGCAGTTAATAACCTTGTGTCAACAGTAAAGCTACAGCATTAAAAGCAGCAAAAAAACCCAAATGGCTCCAAAAGGCCACATATTCCCCTTGTTGTAGGTAACATATCATCTTCTCTCCACACTTTTTGAGATCTAAATTTCTTTTTCACAAATCTGTACACCTAAGCAGCAAAAAAACCCAAATGGCTCCAAAACCCACATATTCCCCTTGTTGTAAGTAACATATCGTCTTCTCTACAATAGGAAGAAGGCGGTGAGGGGAAACACTCCACATTTTTGAGATCTAAATTTCTTTTTCGCAAATCTGTACACCCAGAAAGCAGTTGGTTAATAAATTAACATTTAATGCCCATCACCATGTTAGTAAAAAAAGCACATACAAGCATTTAATCCCTAAGACCCATTCACTGACTTAGTTTCAAGGGCACTAATTCCCTTTCCATGTCCAAAATCCAGACCGCTTACCTTGTACACGGTGTAACCCAGGCTAAACTCTCAGCAGCTTTGCCCTGAGACTATATAGGTCCGTAGCCCCTCCTACAAAGAGAACTGCAAACAGGTCTCTGCCGATGGGAAACTCCTATTTCTTAAACCAACGGTGTCACTTGGGGCTGTTTAGTCACTTCTCACCTACAGGGAGTAAACTCCTGCCTAGTGCTGACTGTGTGCAAATGTAAGATTCATGAGAGTTCATGGTCAGTGGGAACATCCGTGCCAGCAGAAACTGGCAGGCTTCCCATTTTCACTGTTTGTCAACCTGCTAGTTAAAAATAACTGGAGCGGCTGAAAAACTCCTAAGATTTAAAAAAACAAATAATACTGTGATAGCAATCAAAATTTTATTTTAATATTTTATGGGGTTTTTTTACTTTTAACAGATTGCCGTTTTACATAAGTCACATCAACTAATTCAGCTTGAATCCTTCACAGGCTTTCTTTCCTTCCTGAGCGATGGGGACTACTCCTCCGGGACATTTTTCTGCTGAATTTCATTCATTCCTGCACATAGAAGGGTTTTTTCTTTTTCTGTTAAAAACGTCCCCCCGAATTTTGACCCGGTGAAAGTGCACGCTGAAGACAAGTGTAAGAACCAGTAAATGAAGAGTGGCATCGGAAGACAAACTGCCCTCTGCACCCCTGACTGCTTTCTTCTGATAACTCTTGAGCTCAAAGTGTCGGTGCAGCATGAACTCCCGTGCACCATCCTGCCCGTCTAATCTGGTTGGTCAATGCTGTTGTAGACATCACCTGAGGGCAAGGTCAACGGGCGATTTAAAAATCTGCTGAATCACCCTGAACGTACCTGCGAGCTGGAAAATTCTTCTCATGTTGCACAGGGAGGTTGTATGAATCGTATTCTGTCAAACCAAAAAGTTGTTACAGTATAGGGGGGGATGTCTCTCTCCTTTAGGTCCTTCCTGTCGATGTACTTTGCTGCTATGGAGCTGAAAATGACCCTCATCCCATCAGTCTCCACTGCTGGTGCTCTGCATCTGGAGTGCTGTGTCCAGTTCTGGGCTTCCCAGTTCAAGAAAGACAAGGAACTGCTGGAGAGACTCCAGCAGGGGGGTTGGAGTAGATGATCTCCAGAGGTCCCTTCCAACCCCTGCCATTCTGCGATTCTGGGCCTGTTAGCCCAATGTGTTCCATGTTTGACAGTAAAATAAACTTAATTATTTATTTAGAGCTAGAACCACAGAAGGCCAAGGCATCAAAAGGGTCACCAGTGCAATGTCTAAGGGGTGCCCAGTACCCAAATGGAACACTCCATACCCTCTACTGCATGTGAGGAGAGCCAGGCTTCACAGAAGGGGACTCCTCACTGACAGTCCATCCTGTAGCCTCCACCTTCTGATTTGGGCTCTTTTCTTTCCTATTTTACTCTTTCCCCATCTTACATTTGGGAAGGTTCTTCTCTCCAGCCCCTGAAAGCCTGCAGCAGGGCTTAGTCACCTACACAGAGGTGTCCACACTGCTGTGTATGTTCCAGGGTGTCCGCTGGCCTCTAGATGCTGCTCTGGAGAGCCCAGCTCTGCCACATGTGCTGTGGCACGATGGCCAGCCCTGCAGAGCTGTCCTGGGGAGCCCCAGCCATCTGTGCTAAGTGCAGCAGAAACCCACTCTTGGTATCACCGTAGAAGAACAAGCTGCCCACATTTTGTTTTCTGTTAACATCCAGTTCAAAATAATTTGTTCATGTTTGATCATGAAACAGAACTCTGCGGGAGATGATTCTGCCCCTCTGCTCTGTGCTCCTGAGACACCACCTGTCCTGGAGTGCTGTGTCCAGCTCTGGAGCCCTCAGCACAGGAAGGACATGGACCTGTTGGAACGGGTCCAGAGGAGGGCCACAAAGATGATCAGAGGGCTGGAGCACCTCTGCTGTGAGGACAGGCTGAGAGAGCTGGGGTTGTTCAGCCTGGAGAAGAGAAGGCTCTGGGGAGACCTTCTAGCAGCCTTCCAATATCTGAAGGGGCTACAGGAGAGCTGGGGAGGGACTCTTTGTCAGGGAGTGCAGTGACAGGACAAGGGGTGATGGTTTTAAATTGGAAGAGCGGAGATTCAGATGAGCTACTAGAAAGAAATTCTTTCCTGTGAGGGTGGTGAGACACTGGAACAGGTTGACCAGAGAAACGGTGGATGCTCCATCCCTGGAGGGGTTCAAGGATGAGGCTTGGAGCAACCTGGTCTGGTGGGAGGTGTCCCTGCCCAGGGCAGGGGGTTGGAACTCGATGATCTTTAAGGTCCCTTCCAACCCAAACCATTCTGTGATTCTATAAGAATGTTTTATTTGCTTGCTTGAGAAGTGACTGCTTTCCCCTCCAGGCTTCTGAGAGTGCTGACGTTTGCAGTTAGCAAAGGGGTTTTTTTAAGGGTAAAAGATCAAACTACGCTGCTGGCAACAGTGTTTCATGCGTTGTTGGACAGACATGACGTATGATCCAAAATCTAGGATAATGTGGGAGACCGAAGCTTTCCCTGCATAGACACGTGCACCCAGGTGCGTCTGGTAGCGCTTCACAAATGCAAACTCACTCTGAGGTAGCTTGGCTGGGTTAATCATTTGTGGGCCTGGCCGTGATAAACTCTAGGAGATATCCCAGGTCTAGTGACTACTCAGACAAGGACTTGACATCCGCCTTGTCAGAGGACCGCAAGGTACGAAAACGTGAGTGCAAGCGTGAAAGTTAATCACAGTGTAGGCAACTTGGGAAAACTCACCTCACCTAATTTTGTAGGCCCCTACGGCTACTTTAGCTGTTTAGTTTCCATTAAACAGTTCTAAATTCAGGAGGAATCCCTCACCACGCACTTGAGCTACAGCTGATATCCAAACTACTCGAAAAAATGGTATCTCAACTGAGGCAGTTAAAAGTTTAGTTGAAGCCAGTCCCTTCAGCCTTCCCTTAGGGGGTAGGGTAGAGAAGTCTTCAGAGGGTGATTTACCCCAACAGTGACATTTCTTATCCTCTCAGAGGTATCCATCAAGATTTCAGGCAGGTCTTCTTCAACACAGTTACTAGCCTAAAGAAAAGTGAAAAATATGGTACCATCTGTCCCTAACTTAACGGGGCTTTTAGAAATGTCACTTCACTGGGTCTGTAAAGTATTTTGGGAAATGCTATAGAAGTGCCATTTGCATCTTGCGTACCTGAAGGTTTCTGATTTTTTAAGAACATCTATGTTCAGATTGACCATCCAGGAGTTAAAATAGGAGAAACGTCAAAGATGCCCTAATAACTTAGGGATGAATACTCACCCCAGCTGCTGCTGTTGCCCCCAGCTTGTTTACATTTAGTCTCTTCCTTTAAAACTTCAACTTTCTCTCCAGAAAAAAAATAAAATCTCTCTTTAATTTGTTTTTTTTTTCAGACAAGGTGCTGACTTCTTGACAAAGCACTGGAAAACGTTTTGTTTCACCAGGCTTTGTGGACTCTCCTCTCTATATAAAACATATTGGAATTGTTTTAATTTGGGTTGGAGCTGTGTTCAAATTTATGAGCCAATATTTCAAATCTGCTTGCAAGGGAAGTAGGTGCACACACAAACCGTAGTGTTATTGTGTTAGCAGAGGGAGTAGGGACTGCAGAGAAGGGAGCCTCATCTGTGGCTAATGAGACCTGCTGGGACGTACCCAGCCCTGCCTTGCTGCAGAAATAAAGCCCAGCTCTGTTTTTTTTCAGATTATTTAAAACAAATGTCCTGTTTGTTGTTGTTTTTCCAAAGTGGTGCTGCCTGCGTTCAGCACACTGGAAAAGTACAGCTCGCACGTTACATCCCATGAAACATTTCTCCACAGCAAATTACGCCCTCAGAACCCGGCAGGGTAAGTGTGCAACAGAACCATCTCATAAACCCAAGAACACATTTACAAAGGATAGCCTTGCAGAGGAAAGAGAGAAATTAAAAGAAAGAAAATGCCCTTTTCTCCAGTGATCCTGCTGACTTAACACTTGGTGTTGGGTATGTGAAGGGCGTTAGGTGTTTTCCCAAACATTTTGAAGAGCAAGTGGGTTTCCTAGAAGCCAGAAAGTGTCCTCAGTGCTACTGAGCTTGAATTTTTTTCTATCATGATGAGGTTTTTTGCCAGCGGTTCCTTACGTGATGGTTTGAATAACAAATACGAGACCTTGCCTGACCAAAACCAAAGCAGCTGAAATTAGTGACCACCTTCCTTCGGCTAACATCACCAGTTCCTGCCATCTCCATGCGGGGCAGAGAAAGAGAAGGTTGTGGATGGGGTGTCACCTGCTCACCATTGCTTTTAGGGATCTCTCTCCGCATAACAGCATGTAAAGCTTTCAGCTTTCCTTCTAGTTCCCTCTGGTTGGCTCCCTTTCTCTCTCCCTTCTGCTTAGTTTGTAATGTTTGTGTCTTCTTGGCAAATTCTAAACTGTCTCATTTCCCTGTGATTATTCCCTATTTTCCCCTCCACACTTCCAGCCCCTGGACCTTTCTCCCCTCTGGATGTGGTTCTCTCCCCATGGAGACAGTCAGTATGTAAGAACAGAAAGGAGCATGCCATGGACAGGCAGGCAATATCAGGACTTCCAGAGCATTTCACACCTGAAAACCTCCTCTTTTTCTAGGCTTTTGTCATGCCAACATTAAGCACCAGATTTGCCTACTGACATCTACTGGAACCAAGTTTCCTTCTAATGGAGATGCTGCTCTCCTGCATCAGGCCCCTTCACAAGGCAGTTATTGTTGCTGGAAATGTATATAAGCCCTCATATGTTGGCTTTAAAATCAGTGGAAGCAGAACCTCTGTTGCTCTGTGTTCTGTCCTACAGCTGTAGAAATGAACCACCTCTGCCCTACCTGAGTCTGCCAAACAGGGTGCGTGTTTCTTCCATGGCCCTTTGTTCTCCAGAGATAACACATTCGTAACCTGCATGTGAAATACCAGAAAGATCATACCCACTGTTTGAAATAACTGTTTTATGAAGAAAAAGAATCAGTTTGGCAAGGAAAACCTTGCAGTGAGGTCTTAAAAAAGTCCAATTTACCCCCAGGCCTTAATTTAACAATGGTAACAATGACTGTGTTTTGACCTTTTGCAGGTGTAGGAGCAAATGACGTCCCAGCCAGCTCACAGTCATTCCACCTTCACGCTGAAAGCCCATCCTGTGGCTCAGCGTGGGGAGGCAGCAGCCACAGAGGTGACATGGAGGTGTACACCGCTGCCACAAGGGAGGTGGCGTCCCTGCACGGGCAGGTAGGCAGTGCCTTTCTTCTTGGGACAGCGCAGGGGTGCCTTGGTGACACAAGGTCGCAGGATGCACCGCAGCCCCACGGGCAGTTCTCCCGTGGCATTGCCAACTGTTAACAAATAAATCCAGGCACTTTTCCTGTAAAATCCAGCCTTCTAGATTTCACAGGAGAAGCAACTTTTTTCAGCAACTGCTTGAGACCTGTTGCTTTCACTTACCAGGTGCCTGGTGAAGGTGAGGGAGGCCAGCACAGGTCCCACCTGGTGTGTTGGCTAAGTAGGGGGCTATCTCCAGAGAAGATCTTTCCAAAACCTCCTATGACTCCCAAAGGATGAGACCAGTCACCACCAAATAGGTCTTGTGGAGCAAGGTGATGATGCCAGCCACAGTGGCTGCCCCCGCTGTGCCCAGTGGCTCAGTATTTGGAGCGGAGATCCAGGGGGAGAGCAACGCAGGTCCTTCAGCCTGAGCTGACCCTGCCATCAGACCTGGGATTCTTCTGGCTGGCACATTCTTCGTTGTTCACACTGGACCAAAAAGCACTTTCCGAGAAACCTTGGGAGCAGTTTTTCAGGATGAGGGATAATGAGCACGACTCACTAAATGATCACTGACCTTAACCTGCACAAGGAGGAATTGATAATAAGGGAAATTTAGGCAGCTTTAGTGCATCTTTAACGCACCATGAAACCTGCACTGCCCTGTGACCACACTCCTCCCTTCCCCAATGCCCCCCTGTGAATCGTCTCCACCATTGCAGGCAGGCCTCGCTGAAGGAGCTGTGCCCACCTCGGTGTCACTGGTCCCAGCACATTGCCACGGGGGCAGGTGGTGGCCCCCAGTGCCCATTTGCTCTTGCCCAGATGGTTCCCAGCCACGGTCCGTCCACTCCAGGGCCTGTTTGGGTGTGGTTACACAGTTTTGGGCAATAAGGGAGTTTAAAAGCCCTTCTATGGCCTCAGAGCCTGGTGCTTCTTCTTTCACTAGGACCAAGATGTAGCTGGCCGTTGGTGTTCAGAACCAGGGCTAGGAAGCAGCTGAGCATCCCCCAAAACAGCAGATGAACACACAGGAAGAAGCACGAACAAATATTGAACCTGAGGGACCATCCATTTGCAGACATGGCTCTGCCCTCCCCACCCTTCAAAGTGGTTCATCTCATGAAGGGGTGCACAGACTCCGAGGCACCAGGAACAATGAACTAAAGTGCCCAGAAGAATCACATTTAAAAAGTAGAGGAAGAAAATAATCAATGTTACAAAAGCTGGTTCCTAGGCAAGACTGGGGAAGTGTGAGAAACCAAAGAGATTTGGCTTTCGTAACAACAGATGAAACAAGTATTAAATTACAAGTTTCACTTCACTTTCACTCATGCAGTTCTGTAAAAATAATGCAATATAAAGTACTTACCAAGACCGCTCCTGAAACAAGTCGACTTCTTCGAGGGTTAGTGATTCAGTGAGTATTCTCTTTTTTTTCCTTCCATAGCTCTTATTCTAAAGCCTATATTCATCCAGAAAAATATCTTCTTCAACAAGTTACATTCTGACAATAATAACACTGCACCAACCTTTTTCCAAATTAATTGATTCCCTGCCCTACAAACAGTTCTTGCTTCCATATGCCTTTGTTTTCATGTTTTGTGAAGCATTTGATATCAATAAAGACTCACATTGCCAGAGTAATCAGAATGCTTTATTTCAGTTGGGGGTTTTGGGTTTTTTCCACTATTGGTTTTAACTACAACAATACTAATTTAATGAGCTTCCTACTTCCTTTGGTTTGGGTTTGGGGGATTTTCTTTTCCCCCAGTATTCTGGGTCTCACTGAAGGTAGCAAGGCATTCATTTCTTAAAAACCTTCAACACAGTTTCTACATAAAATTCATCTGGCGGGGGCTTCCTTGGGCTGCCGGGCTGCAGGAACTTCTTAATTGTAGGCATATTGCTCATTCTTTTCTTAAAAGCCTAAAAAATAGAAACAACAGAGTACGAGTGAAATCCCAGCTACTCCAGTAGAACAGCGCTCCTTGCACAGAACAATTGCTTCCCCCTGCTGCTAGAAAAGATCCTGATGCTCGTTGGGGTCTGGGTGCCACCTACACAGTCTCCTTCTGTCCAACAGGAGGACTCAGCAGCTGCAAAACGCCTGTTCTTACCAACAAAGGCAGTGCTGGAGCAGACAACAGCTAAATCTCTGCTGCTTGAAAGGAACTGAAGGCAAAAACTCAATATCTGGGAGCACCAGGGAATAGGTTTGAAGGTACAAGTGCACTAACCCAGCTCAGGACCTGTTTCTTTTTGTTGCTGGTTCTTCCATGTGGGGGAAACCATGATATACATTAACACGATTTCCATTTTTACTACATTATGTAAGTATCTGAGCTCTGTTTGCATCTGGCACGGCCACTGTTGTCCCACTGTCCCAGCATTTCTAGGATTGCCTGGGTGAAGGTGAAATGGCTGGAGGCATCCTTGGCCCAACTCAGCTGTCCATTAGAGGTTTCTCATACTGTATTGCAGCCTAGGGTAGCCAAAATACCTACACAGGGCCAGCAGATACAACACAGCCCCTCAGGGAGACCTATCTCCTTCTGGAGCAGAGGCTGGAGGCCAGGACTAGGATTAGGGAAGAGTTGGGCATTTCAGGAGGTGAGAGATGCCTGTGGTTAAGGCAACTGAGTCATGGATCCTGACATCTCATTGTACAGAAAGTCAGAGGACTCAGTGACGCAGACTGGGAGCAGCTGGAGACCCCACGGGAAGCTGAGCAAGCTTAGAGATACAAGAACCTCTTCTAACCATGGGGCTGAGGGAGGGGAGCTTCACAGAACAGCAGCCAGTTCTTGCTGGCAAAGTATAAACGTAATTTCCTCTTCCTTACAGGCATTGGAAGGATGAGAGGGAAATACAAGAAGGAGCAAGAAAAGTAAAAACTGTTAAACAAGAAACCACCTTTCCCTCCTGGCAGTGAAGGATTCCCTCCCTAACTCAATCCTTTCCCTCCTGGCAGTGAAGGATTCCCTCAACGCATGACTCAACTGAACTGTGTCCATGCCTCCAGGCTAAGGCAGCTTGCTAGAAGATGGGAGCTAAAGGCAAGCATTGCCCAAGGCAGCAAAATCTGGGTAAAATCTGACCCGCGTTACTGCCCACTTTGTGGCTGAAGTGCCTCATCCTGCCACACTAAATTCAGGCTTAAACTGTTGGGGTTGAGATTTAAAAACTTTTTTTTTTTTTTTTTTTTTTTTTTTTTTTATGCCTTTTTTTTTAAAAAAAAAGGCATTAAAAAAAAGAAAAGCAGTCCTTTTCCTCATCAATTGGAAGGAGAAAACTGTGATAGTCTGATTCTGAACTATCTCTTTTGTTAATGAGAATAACAAGTGCACCCCTCAAATCAACAGTTTGTAAGCACAAAGAAGCATGGCCTCGTCCCTTGCCTCCTCAACCCAAATTTGCATTGCCTAAAACATTTTATTACCATGATTACAGGCACATGGGAAGACTACGGAACACTATCTGCTTTTTTTTCCAGTTCCACTTGGATCCACTGTATCTCAGCTCTTAATGACTCCTGCTGGTCCTGCACCGCGTTTGCCCATAGTGCCAGGAGTCTTCTGGTGGAGTCTCACAGCAGAAGCACCTCACTTCTGCTTGGTTTCAGACTTGGTACATGGCACGAAGGCAGAGAATTCATTCTCGATTGTAGGGAATTGATTATTGAAAGAAAAGCCTGGCTTAGGGCTAAGGCTTGAGTTTCTAGCCATACTGTAGAGGGCAGAAGTGAAGTGAGGTTACTGGGATCCCAAAACTGTCATACCAATTCTAAAATGTCAAGCTGTATCGCAGGCTTCATTTGTTATCTGGTATTAGATAGCACCCACTGGCAGGAAGCAGGAAAATGAAAAGAGGGCAGCTTAGATCAGTGACTCCCTTGGGATGGTATTAACTTATTTCTATTGAGGAGGCACATATCACTCAGAGGTACGCTTATCTCAACAGGGTTAGTCAGGAGCACAGTGTCTTGTAGCTCATAACAAACCAACTAAATAAATTCTCTCTTATGTTTGGTGTTAAGCACACAACAGTGACGGTTCCTCGAAGACCCCACACTCCTGATTTACTAAGCATGGAGAGATGATCACTTCAGGATTGCCCTCTAGTTCCTAAGCAGGGGCATGTTCAACAGCAAAGTTACCTGCAACTGAGGAAACCCCGACAGCACAGCAGGTATTTTCTCCTCCACCGCTAAAATGGCTTCGATGAGCTGAACATCTGCCCAGCTGAATTTGTTGCCCACGAGGAAGTCCTGGCCATGTTGTTTCAAAACCTGTAGAACAGAAGAGAAGGTGGGCTGCAGATGAGAAGGGGACACACGACGCCTGGCAGCTCAGCCTCACAGCACAGCTGCAAAGCTCAACGGTGATTACTGCTGAAATTTCAGGGTGGAGTTTTCAGCTGGAAGTTGTGAGCCTAAAAAAAATATGAAAACTCTTGTAGTGCACAGACTACAAACCCTGGTCACTTGGTAATAGTGAATGATGGTAGGCACTGGGGACAGGGACAAAACCACGCACTTAGGGGGACTAGTACCAGTCACAGAATTAGAGACAACGAAGGTACTAGAGAGTAACTTGGAGAATTTATAAAATTGCCATTTTGATATTTCATTTAAAGTTATGTCCAGTGTTGATACCAGGAAGCAAACTTAGAAATGCAGAATTATAATAGCTAACCAAAGCTGTTGGTTGTTGGCTACTCCTCTGCCTTTGGGAGTAAGTTATTACAGTCACAAGAACTTCTAGGATGTTCAGCTTTTATTATTGTTTTCCATCAAAACTAGATGAATGTTACAAAACTGAGAAGTGTTGCCAGACGTCTGAGTCATTGGGGTTTGGTCTGTTGTTTTCGAAAGAGGGATGTGCAGAAATCTGTGACTGTTGTTTTACTAAAGTGCTCCTAATCTCTCTACCTGATTTATTTGCAAGGGATTTTTGCATTCTTCTAATGAAAAGGTTCCAACTGAAATTAAGTAGAGCACAGAGATGTGCTCTAAACAAATATAAGTGCAGGACTGTCCCCTCAAGGAAAAAAGAAATCGTACGTGCTTGCTTTTACTTCAGTGAAAAGTTTTGCTGTGTAGCTGAGAACATACTGCTTTGTTTGCTTTGTAGATGTTCACATACCACAGCCCTGACAACACAAGCCAACAAATAGAGAAAACAAGCTGCTGTATTTCTCCTTCTCTGAGAGAGCGAAGAAAGCTGAGCATTTGGAACCGGCCTGCACTACAAACATGTTCTAATTTGGGGGAAACTTTTTGATAATTGTAGGTACAAGTTTTACAGACACCTCCTTCACTGTCTCTTACCTTTTCAAAGACTGGGAAGTACCTGTTGGTTGCCCTCTCCTTAATTGAGTCAATATTTTTCTCCTTTGCCTCAGGTGGAGAGAAAGGAAACATCAAAATCATTTGCATCAGGTCTGTTATTCCTTCCACGTACATGTCAATCCTATCGGTGGGGGGAAGACAGTGTAAAAGAGCACAGAAGTTATTTCATCTGTTTTCCAATGAACTAAGGCAACTTACAGGAATTTTATGATCACCACCATAGTGCCAATTTTCATAGCCAAAAGTGAACAGAAAGTAAAGCTAAATATTTTTTTAAAGGACTAAAAGCCAGCGTTTCAGAAGCAGTGGTTAAAACCCAAGCAAAGGCTGGAGTCCTTGCTATTTATTGCATTAGCCTTTCTCATGTCTTTCTACCGGATTTACGGCATTGAATTTATTAGATATAATACAGCTATCAAATAACAGATTGCTCATTAGGTGAAAGGAGGTGTAACAGTACAGGGCTCTCTCCTTCAAGTCTTTCCCATAGAGGTTGTATTTCCCTGCTATGTAGTTGGCGATGGCTCTGGTCTGCACCATCTTCATCCCATCAATCTCAACGAGAGGCACTTGCTGGAACAGCAGGACTCCATCTAGGGTGGAAAGTTGAGGGAAAGCTTGTTAGTTCCTCCTAGACTTTTAGCTTTACAGGAGAGTGAGAGACCGAGCACGTTTCTTTTGCAGTGCAGGAGCTCACTGATGTCTTGCCTGAACTGTGAAACTCCATGCAGTAAACTACCATTGTGGGAAAGATCAAATATTGCCCAGCCTGCACCACTTTGCAGTGGTGCCAGAGCTTCTCTGGCTGATGGGAGCTGGCACCACCAGCTCCTCTGCACCTCTGGACCCTGCCTCATGCTGGCAGGAAAAGCCTGAGCCAGCACTTTCAACCCAAGGGATCGGAGGAGAAAAAAGACGCGTGTTAAATCACAACTTTAAAACCCCTAAAATTATTTTGAATGTGGATCAGTTCCCTCTCAGGGACATACACACACGAGTAGAAAGAATGAGAGGGGTGGTATCGCAGCAAGACTGAGCTACTGGGATAAAGGAAGAGGTCAGGCCACCTTAAAGGTTGCGAAGTTACGGAGTTAGAGGCAGGGACTATGACAGCAATTGCTGCTTAAGTTTTACACAGTCACTTCAGGGAAAGGAAGAGGTCAGGCCACCTTAAAGGTTGTGAAGTTACAGAGTTAGAGGCAGGGACTATGAGCAATTGCTGCTTAAGTAAGTTTTACACAGTCACTCCAGGAACAAGAGTTTGAGAGTCCCCATAGATTTTCATTTCTGGCCTATCCTGTGTCATTCCACAAAAGTTTAAGGCTATTTAGATGCATCTCCTTGTCTCCTGGTGCTGGCAGGAGCATTTTCTGAGCCTTCAGTGAGGCAGCCCTGAGAGCTAAACTGAGGTGGATTCAGCACTTCTCGAGAGCAGTTTTCTGCTGGACTAATTCACCCTCTTTGGAGATACTCCCTCCTCTACTTACACATCAAGGCCATCCAGAGAACAATCCCGCCCTCTTAAAAATCACAGCAAAACTCCAAAGCCAACTAGGCAGCTGCCACTTTGCATTGCTCAAAGTTAATCATTTATTTTAATTGCTCAATTTTAACCCGTTCAGTGCATCCTTCTTCCAGGTATAAGGGTTCATTTTAACAGGCACTTCTGTTTGCTTTTCTCTCCACAGAGTTATTATACTTTGTTAGTCTAGAATTAATAAACATTCTTCATTCATGCTATATTACTAATCTACAGTTCCAATTCAAAGAGTAGCTTTCTCTGCAGCAACAAATAGCCTGTTTCTTGTAAACACTCACAGAAAGATCATGTGTCTTCATGTCTTTCCAGAGCACACCTCAGCAGCTTAAGGAAGAAATACTAATTGGTATCTAACTAGCAGAAACATAGTAGAACTGGAAAACTAACAGCTCTGCAAGGATATTTTTCAGCAGAAAGACGTGAAGTGAAAAATAAAATCTGATTTTCTGGCCCTTAACAAAAAGTGGTGCAGCAAATGTGAGTGAAGTACATGCATGGTTTGTTTCTAATCTACAGAAAAGGGGGATTTCTCTCTTCTGACCTCTGCTTCTCCTCGCTTTGCAGTGAGAACCACTTCACATTACCACTGCAAAGAATATATATGCAGGATTAAAAGCAGTTGATTATTCATGCTTAGTCCTTTTCTGCATGACTGACAGCATTCCAGAGGTCCCTTTATCAGGATGACTAACTAATTTGTCTTTCTTCAATACAATGTATGAAACTCCACCTTTTCCTTTGTGTTCTCACCCTCTTAATCTCAAAATATATAGAGAAAAGCCCTTAATCTTCTTTATAAAACTTCCCTATCCTTTTCACCACCATTTAATTCTTCTCTCTGGCTGTGTATCCAGGATTGTACCACTCTGTCTGGATTAATTAGTATTTTGAAGCAAATTCAGATTTGGGCTTTCAGTACCCGAGCTATCATATTTAGAGCTGTAACTGGTGTCTTTACACTGCACTGCCCTCCCACATTGTCAGATTCCCAGCCAGCTGGACTTGCCAATTTGATTCTGATCTTCTTGATACCGCTTCTTCTTTTTTCACTTTTGTTCATTTTAGTTTTTCTGCCAGAATTTCCTTTAAACACAGCTTTTCCTTTCTGAGCAAGCAGCCAGAATGCAGCTGACTCCTCTTCCAAGGCTCCTAGTATGTCTCAGCAAGCTCAACCAGCTGTGAGGTCTCTCTTGGGCAGCAGGTAAACTGCACTCTGTCGTGTTTCTCACAGTCCCAACTCCTTCCCCACCCCGGCAGCAAGGTCTTCTCCTTCCAGGGTGGCTGTGGAGGGGTTCACTGCTGGATTTCATCAGGCCAAATATCAAGGGCAGTGGCTGGGGGTACGCACTGGTGTTTGGGAACTGGTCTCACTCCCAAGGTTGTGCCAGCTGGCACAGACCACAGCATGGTGGTCACATCTAAATGACATCTTGGAAATGGCCCTTGGCATGGGACAACTCCCAAATGATGCCTAGGAATTGCTTCAGGGAATGCTGTTTGCCCTGGATCAAAAATATGCCAGGAGCCATGTTAACAGTCCAACAGTCCAGATAATTAAGTTGCATTTAATAGGAATGTTTGCTGCCCCTGTTGAACATACTACAATAAACACAGTCACAGAAGCTTTCTGCTAATACCAGTTTTTGGCATCGGAAAGAACAGATTACTCAAAATTAGTATTTCAGTCACCTAGGTGTGCCTCTAGAAATTTGCACTGGTTTAAATAAACTATTTTTAAATGACAAATTTAGCTAAATCAGAACAACTTTTTTGAGAGACTAAGCCTCAGGCATTGGGATTCTTACCTTTGATTAACTTTTCATACTGCTCTCTTGTTTCCAAAAAAATTTCTTCAAACTGGGAAAGGAGAGAGACTAGTGTTACATTGCTGCACGGGAACATCTGTATTCTGTAAGTGACTGGGCATAAGCACATGCGGAAAGACCAAAACGAGCGAAAGTGTAAGTGACTGGGCATAAGCACATGCGGAATGACCAAAACGAGTGAAAGATAATGGCCTGGATCTTCAGATCCTTCAGATGTCCTGAGGGTCGCCCAGGCAGCTGGGGAGGAGCAGAAGGGCCTGGCCACTTCTGCCTCAAGGCACCGATTCAGAAATAAGGTAAGCGCGGGCAGGAACAGACATCTTCAGGAGGAAGACAGGTTGCAGCCAGTGCAAAGGGAAGCAGAAGGTCAATCAACCATTTCTAAGCCCACCCCAGGGTGTGAAGGCCAACAGCAGGCTTTTGTTCACACACACAGTAACTGCAAACTGAAGACAAGTGAGCTAAGGTGGTTTTGCACGGCCAGAAAAATCTGATTAATTAAGAGCCTTTAGGTAAATCCCCATTTTGACCTGTTACGATTAATGACTCCAGGGGACTGATAGTATCTCTAATAAACTCCAAGTTCCACTGTGTTTGCATCCCAAATAACAACCACTAAACAATGCAGCTACAAACACGCAGTCCCACTGGCCAAATTAATTTAAAAGCCACTTCCTTGTAGCCGTTTATCCTCCACATGCATGTATAATGGCCTGGATCTTCAGATCCTTCAGATGTCCTGAGGGTCGCCCAGGCAGCTGGGGAGGAGCAGAAGGGCCTGGCCACTTCTGCCTCAAGGCACCGATTCAGAAATAAGGTAAGCGCGGGCAGGAACAGACATCTTCAGGAGGAAGACAGGTTGCAGCCAGTGCAAAGGGAAGCAGAAGGTCAATCAACCATTTCTAAGCCCACCCCAGGGTGTGAAGGCCAACAGCAGGCTTTTGTTCACACACACAGTAACTGCAAACTGAAGACAAGTGAGCTAAGGTGGTTTTGCACGGCCAGAAAAATCTGATTAATTAAGAGCCTTTAGGTAAATCCCCATTTTGACCTGTTACGATTAATGACTCCAGGGGACTGATAGTATCTCTAATAAACTCCAAGTTCCACTGTGTTTGCATCCCAAATAACAACCACTAAACAATGCAGCTACAAACACGCAGTCCCACTGGCCAAATTAATTTAAAAGCCACTTCCTTGTAGCCGTTTATCCTCCACGTGCATGTTAAAATTAATTTAAAAGCCACTTCCTTGTAGCCGTTTATCCTCCACATGCATGTTAAATCGTTCCTTACTGAGGCGGGTTGAAAACACCAGTCTGGAACACTGTACCAAGTGTGAACTCACCTCCACGCCAGCGGCTGCCAACAGCCATCGTACGGGCTCCATTCGCCCCCTGCCATTAAGGTAGGTAAGCCTGGGCTTCCCCGACATGCTTCCGAGCTCCTGGTCCCCTGGAACACATGAAGCAGAAAACGGGGTCATAAAATTTGGTTTGAAAGGCAGGATGGGAGAGGGGCCATTGACACCACACAGCCTGTAAGATGTGCAGGGCTGTACAGCCTTCCCCAGGGCTGCCGGGGGGGGGTTGGTGTGATTGCAAGCAAAGACTGACACGTTGAAACAAGCGGTGTGAGCCCCGAGCCGCAGGAGGAACCTGGCTGTGTTTTAACACAAGTGTACAAAGCCACTTGAAAAACACTACCACATCCTCAGGGAAGTTACTCACCCGCAGATTTGGGCTTTCAGTACCCGAGCTATCATATTTAGAGCTGTAACTGGTGTCTTTACACTGCACTGCCCTCCCACATTGTCAGATTCCCAGCCAGCTGGACTTGCCAATTTGATTCTGATCTTCTTGATACCGCTTCTTCTTTTTTCACTTTTGTTCATTTTAGTTTTTCTGCCAGAATTTCCTTTAAACACAGCTTTTCCTTTCTGAGCAAGCAGCCAGAATGCAGCTGACTCCTCTTCCAAGGCTCCTAGTATGTCTCAGCAAGCTCAACCAGCTGTGAGGTCTCTCTTGGGCAGCAGGTAAACTGCACTCTGTCGTGTTTCTCACAGTCCCAACTCCTTCCCCACCCCGGCAGCAAGGTCTTCTCCTTCCAGGGTGGCTGTGGAGGGGTTCACTGCTGGATTTCATCAGGCCAAATATCAAGGGCAGTGGCTGGGGGTACGCACTGGTGTTTGGGAACTGGTCTCACTCCCAAGGTTGTGCCAGCTGGCACAGACCACAGCATGGTGGTCACATCTAAATGACATCTTGGAAATGGCCCTTGGCATGGGACAACTCCCAAATGATGCCTAGGAATTGCTTCAGGGAATGCTGTTTGCCCTGGATCAAAAATATGCCAGGAGCCATGTTAACAGTCCAACAGCCCAGATAATTAAGTTGCATTTAATAGGAATGTTTGCTGCCCCTGTTGAACATACTACAATAAACACAGTCACAGAAGCTTTCTGCTAATACCAGTTTTTGGCATCGGAAAGAACAGATTACTCAAAATTAGTATTTCAGTCACCTAGGTGTGCCTCTAGAAATTTGCACTGGTTTAAATAAACTATTTTTAAATGACAAATTTAGCTAAATCAGAACAACTTTTTTGAGAGACTAAGCCTCAGGCATTGGGATTCTTACCTTTGATTAACTTTTCATACTGCTCTCTTGTTTCCAAAAAAATTTCTTCAAACTGGGAAAGGAGAGAGACTAGTGTTACATTGCTGCACAGGAACATCTGTATTCTGTAAGTGACTGGGCATAAGCACATGCGGAATGACCAAAACGAGTGAAAGATAATGGCCTGGATCTTCAGATCCTTCAGATGTCCTGAGGGTCGCCCAGGCAGCTGGGGAGGAGCAGAAGGGCCTGGCCACTTCTGCCTCAAGGCACCGATTCAGAAATAAGGTAAGCGCGGGCAGGAACAGACATCTTCAGGAGGAAGACAGGTTGCAGCCAGTGCAAAGGGAAGCAGAAGGTCAATCAACCATTTCTAAGCCCACCCCAGGGTGTGAAGGCCAACAGCAGGCTTTTGTTCACACACACAGTAACTGCAAACTGAAGACAAGTGAGCTAAGGTGGTTTTGCACGGCCAGAAAAATCTGATTAATTAAGAGCCTTTAGGTAAATCCCCATTTTGACCTGTTATGATTAATGACTCCAGGGGACTGATAGTATCTCTAATAAACTCCAAGTTCCACTGTGTTTGCATCCCAAATAACAACCACTAAACAATGCAGCTACAAACACGCAGTCCCACTGGCCAAATTAATTTAAAAGCCACTTCCTTGTAGCCGTTTATCCTCCACATGCATGTTAAATCGTTCCTTACTGAGGCGGGTTGAAAACACCAGTCTGGAACACTGTACCAAGTGTGAACTCACCTCCACGCCAGCGGCTGCCAACAGCCATCGTACGGGCTCCATTCGCCCCCTGCCATTAAGGTAGGTAAGCCTGGGCTTCCCCGACATGCTTCCGAGCTCCTGGTCCCCTGGAACACATGAAGCAGAAAACGGGGTCATAAAATTTGGTTTGAAAGGCAGGATGGGAGAGGGGCCATTGACACCACACAGCCTGTAAGATGTGCAGGGCTGTACAGCCTTCCCCAGGGCTGCCGGGGGGGGGTTGGTGTGATTGCAAGCAAAGACTGACACGTTGAAACAAGCGGTGTGAGCCCCGAGCCGCAGGAGGAACCTGGCTGTGTTTTAACACAAGTGTACAAAGCCACTCAGGGAAGTTACTCACCCACCCTTCGTTTCCATCATCCTCACTGAAAAGATGAAAAGAATCATAGAATCATTCAGGTTGGAAAAGACCCTTGGGATCATTGAGTCCAACCATCTACCCTACTCTACAAAGTTCTCCCCTACACCATATCCCCCAACACCACATCTCAATGACTCTTAAACACATCCAGGGATGGTGACTCAACCACCTCCCTGTGCAGCCTATTCCAGTGTCTGACCACTCTTTCTGTGAAAAACTCCTTCCTAATGTTCAGTTCAAACCTAGCCTGTTGGAGCTTGAAGCCGTTCCCTCTCATTAGGATTATCCTAATCGTGATTAGTATCCTAATGGTGTCCTAATGGCTCAGAAACCAGTATAGGGTGCCTGATTTAAAAAAAAAAAAAAATAAAAAAAATTTACAGATGACCCCAGTTTTCTCAGAGTTAAAAGCCAAAGCTGCAACGTGATGTCTGTTGCACTTTGCATCCACCTGGCATTTCCCATTCAAATTAGGTTCACCATCCTCTAGTGATGTGTTTTCTTCAAATCACAGTGCTTTGTCAGTCTACTTAAAGTACGTTTGGAACATATGTTGCCAAAACTTGACTTTAAAGAACAATCAGGTCAAGAGTTCTCCCCTGAGCAATTCTGGTAAGAGCCAAGTCATGTTACTACAATAAATAAAATAGGAATATTTGGGATAATCCAGACAATATAATCCAAATACAGGTAAAGGAAAAAATAGTCACCTCCAGTTTTAAAAATGTGAATAACTGTTGCTAATTACAATGTTTTGCCTCTAAGACAGTGGTTTTATTATTTTCTGCATGTTGTGTGCCTATCTTTCACTATATGGCAGTGTGGTTTATCTATATAGCCCACAACAGCTAACTAGTGCCTCTCTCATTATCCTACTTCTCCGATACATTGCATCCCTATCATTCCAACACACATCGCCCCGACTCGTGATGAGCAGAAACTTACAGTAAATAAGACTTTTAACTAAAAAAGCCAAAGACTGCAATACCAAGAACGTGAAACTTAATCCTCTTGGAAAATTTATCTATTGTTTGCAGAACAAAAGCAGAGGGAGTGAAAAAGCCTCAGGTATAATTTTGTCATTTTACATGAACAAAAAATTCTATATGGCACTAAATTATGTGAGAAGAACAATGATAAATGGAGAATAAAAACCTGTCATCAGCTTCATTTTTTTTTATCCTTTTAAGAATAATTCTGTCAGCTGTAAGTGGATTTTAATTGTCTTCAGCTTCTGACACAGAAAAACACCCTTGTTTTTTGGTAAAGTCTCCTCAAACTTTAGATCCACTGAATGCATCTCTGTTGACTACGCAGGGACCTGGTGGCTCAGTTTAGTTGCCCATTCCTATGTGCCTGCTGACCCCTGAGATTCCCTAAAGGTGGGCAGATATATCCCTCGTCTTACTGGAGTCAGGGCAACTTTTTTTACCATAAATCAGTATACCTAGCCATCTAGGCTCTCAATGCCTTTTTGTATTTATTTGGGGAAAGGTACAGGTATCATGGACAAGGCTCTCTCAGAACTTCACTCAGTCCTCCACTATTTTTCTAAAATTTTAGTAACAGGTTTTCAGGATGTTGTGTATACAAAAAAAAAAAAAAAAAACCACCAAACAACTGTTTCTGATACAATATATTGATGATTTATTAGCAGCCAAAGAATCTTGTGTAGCTAACACCCAGTCCTTACTGTTTGCTTCAGCTGAAAAGGGCCATTGTCCTTTCCATGTAAGTTACTATCTTTTTTTTAAAGAGAAATGTAGAATATCTGGGTTGCATTCTCCAACAAGACGAATGGCGTTTATGGGAAAACCATATTAAACCCATTCAAAATCTTTCCCAACCAGTTACTAAAAACAAATGCAAGCCATTTTAGGAGCTGTAGGGTTCTGCCACCCCTGGAGAGCTATTTTCGAGGAAATGGCATAACCCCTGATACCAATTATTGCTCAAGATGCTGGAGAACCCATCCACTGGGCAACAGACCAGGTAAAACCATCCCTGCCTGGGACTGCTAGACTACAACAAACCATCTACCTTGGTTGTACAAGAAGGGCAAGGAATAGTCTCTGGGATGGTGACTAACACTCTTCATCTGGGGAAGGAACTCCACATCACAGCTGTGTATTTACCATCCGTGAAGCCGAAAAGACTCACGAAGATTTAACAAACATGCCATTTCTTAATCCCAGTCTGAACCTATTAATTGGCGGGTCTTCATATTATCTGAGCAGCAACTGGGCTACGGGTTATTAAATAACTATTGTGAATGAACTGGTGGAGGCTTCACCACTCAGTTCGAAGCTGAGCGCGCGAGCAGCCAAATTAATTGCATTAACAGAGGTCTATCAGCTGGCCAAAGAAAAGACTGTAAATATTTATGCCGATTCTCGATGTGCATTTCATAGAATCATAGAATTGTCTAGGTTGGAAGAGACCCTTGGGATCACACCACGCTACTGGGCAGTTACGGAAGCTGCGTAGGATTGTAACTTCTAGTGGAAGTAAAATATCAAACACTCCACAAATTAGTGGACGGCTGAAAGCCATACAATTGCCAGAGAAAGTTGCTATCACTCATCAACCAGCCCATGCCGGCAAAGGACAAAAGAAGAGATAAGAAACAGTCTAACAGATATTGCTGCTAAAGCCACAGCACGACAGCCGTATGAACCACCGGGTTTACTACCTTCCGAGGGTCTGACCTGGTGTTGCCCACTGCTGAAAAAAGATGCATTTGACTCTTCCTGCTGAAGAAATGGGCTCTTGCAAAAGGTATGAAACGGTCAAAGACTTCCAGGCAATGTGAGAAGTAGATATGGCAAACTTCCCTATTTTACCTCAGCAATACCTGATTGCCATAGCAAAAATGCATCACCATCCAGGGCATTTTGGGATCACTGCACCAGCCCAGACACTGCTGAAGAATCGGTTCATGTCAGGAATTTATGCTGCAGCTAATTAAGTAACCACACCTTGCATGCACTACCTTTAGCCTTAATATTTAGCAAAGGTCTCAACACAAAATTTGTCTATATACAGACGTTTTTACTGCTTTTGTCTAAAATCCATATTTCCATCCTATTTCCTCGTGAGCCTTAATGACATGCCTGTCTTGAGTTTCTCCAAGGATACTTCTTAGCATTGTAAGAAGGGATTAAGAGGGGGTGGTCTTTCAGAAACACCATTATCTGCATTCAGTGTGCAGAACCCTTTAGCCCCGGAGCTGGGAGCAGAGTCCAGGGTACCAAAAGGGCCACTTTTCCTGCTCAAACCCAGAAGAAACCGCCAGGGTGCCAGAGGCTCACGCTGTTCTCCCACCCACCGTTGCCTTCCCACACTTTGTCCCCTCAGCAGTTTCAGGGCTGTCTCCCTCAGCTCTGAACTGCACCGCAGGATTCATTTCCTGGTTAAAAGAAAAAAAAAAGTCTTTTTCTTGCTCTCTCTCTCCTGCAACTTCCAGCTGGTAACTATCAAGCCATGCTTACTCTACCTGCTACATGGTCTAAGGAGAGCAGAGAATTTCCATTAACCCAGCAGATGCCCTAATAAATTTGGAAGTAGTCGCTCAAACACTTTAAGAAAGGGGAAATCATAAGTTAGTACTTACCTCCTGACCTTAACTCAGCCTCCTCCCAGCACGGGCAGGTTCCCCGGGGGTGTTTAAACTTTGGAGTTTAGGGGAGTTCCCAGCCATGCCCAATTAGAGACAAAATCTCCCGTTGCTATTCAGCTGCCTCTACCCAGCTTAAAGACGTACGTCTCCGAAAATTGCCATCCAAGGTGGAGACTATCTATCTTCCTTTTTCATGTTGCTGATATGACCACACCATGTGGTTACTCTCATAGTTTCTATGGCAGGCATCTATTCAAACCGCTTCCTTGGAATTATTGGGGTGTTTTACCCAAATACAAGGGTGAGACACTTTAAAACACTGAGAAAATTATAGATGTTTCCAGGTCATATTTAGGGTAATAGTAACCATTTAAAGATTAACCACTGAAGTTTCTAGGCTTATTTCACTATTTAAGAGTAATCCAGGCTTTTATTGTCAGTGCTGTATGGCACAGAAAAGATACCCAAAGTATCAGCAAATAATGCTTAATTACATCAAAATAGAGTTTGTCAGTATCAAACTCCCTTAGTGATAACTTGGTATAAAAAATAGATGAGGAGTTTATGTCACAACTTGCCCTATGTCTTAAGGCAATACACTCAGTTTTGGAAATTGAGTGTATGTGGCTAATACTCAGTTAGAGATGAAATAAACTATGATTTTCCTACCCTGTTTCCACGAAAAGTTACTGCTTCAGCTTTGCTATCTACATTTCAGGTGAAAATACCAAACCTGAAAGTGGATGTGCACAGACACAAGAATGGCATAGCAGGTGGGAAATGGGATTTGGGTGCCAAAGATCATGTTCTCACCTCTAGCATGGACCCACCTGTGATGCTGGGCATCACTTTACACCCCTGCAGCAGGCGTCAGTACAGCTGATCTGAAGATCTGTTCACAGAACCCAGCACTGAATCAAGATTAATCTGTTCCTGCTTTTGAGGTCTGTGGTATCAGCAACTACCTGAGTGCAACAGTTGGCTCAGGAACAGTGTCCACAGAAGACCACGCAAGTAACTAGTGTCCCCCTGTCCTTTCTGCAGTCTCATATGGCAAAGAAGGAGGAGAGGAAGAGGTCTCCGATTTGAGGTACAGGGATGAGTGGTCAGGCAAAGCTTTCTGATGCTTTTTGGATTTGCTGAATGTGGCCACATCCAACTTTGTTGTTCCCCTTCCACACACTCCTGTTTGCCACAAAGACTTTCCCCTTATCCTCTTTATTTTGCTTCCAGCACAGCCTTTCATAATGTAGTTGTAAAGCTCTTTTATCATCTAAAGGTATTGTATCACTGAGGTTACTATTATCTATAACTTGAATAGCTGTTCTTTAAACCTCTAGAGTAGAAAAGAAAATAAGTTGTTTTTTTTAATAAATGATTTGTTAAGCCACACCTGTGAGCATTCAGGCAGCTGGCATGGAGCCCTGGTACCACTTAGTGATCTTGGGTGGGGCATAGGCAGATTTTAAACAGTGCATACACCATGCCCTGGCATGCCAACTTCCTACTGTGCTCTGTGCTCACTGTGCTGCAGGTTAGACCAAACCCAAAGTCTTAGAATCATAGAATTATAGAATGGTTTGGGTTGGAAGGAACCTTAAAGATCATCGAGTTCCCTGCCCTGGGCAGGGACACCTCTCACCAGACTTTTCAAGGCCCCATCCAGCCTGGCCTTGAACCCCTCCAGGGATGGGGCAGCCACAGCTTCTCTGGGCAACCTGTTCCAGTGCCTCACCACCCTCACAGCAAAGAATTTCTTTCTGGTATCTAATCTAAATCTCCCCTCTTCCAATTTAAAACTATTACTCCTTGTCCTGTCACTGCACTTCCTGACAAAGAGTCCCTCCCCAGCTCTCCTGTAGCTCCCTTCAGATATTGGAAACTGCTAGAAGGTCTCCCCAGAGCCTTCTCTTCTCCAGGCTGAACAACCCTATTTCTTCTCAAAACGTACCTGCCTGCAATCCTCACAAGCCACTAAGTGGCTGGCTTTGGGGAACATGCCTGATTCCAGCTTCCAACAGCATCCTCTCAGAGGTGGGTATACAACTAACTGCCACTGGAGAACTGAACAAGTTGGGTTATGAGGATTCTCCCCTTGCTGCTTATTGAGCTCCTAAACTGAAGCACAGCACCACTGCGATAAAAAATTAAGAGTCCACGTGAATAGTTAGAACAAGCCATACATCACTCAAACCCAGACTTGCTGCAAACCTTCACCAAGTGCTTTGGTTCTGTCCTGGAATCTTTACCAACCTCCTGAGGACAAGGTTAACCAAGCCTGGACTCACCCTCACACATAGCTGTGTAAGCTGTTTGGCACTTACCTGCGCCGCCGGCACAGAAAAGTCTGAACACAGTAACTAACCCTAATCCTGATTTACAAGGAGAGCTTAAATGGAGAGCCAGTTTACAGTATGCTATCATTTGGATCATTTAGTCTTTATTGATCTAAGTATCTCAGCGTGGTCAAAAGGCATATTTATATAGGCACAAGATAGGCAAGATCAAGGCTTCAAAGCCAACTGAAAAATAACCTCCGTAGTACAAATTTCATTGTGAAATATTTATCTTAAATAACCCAGGTATCTTACCGACTTTATATTTTGACAGGAACTTGTGTATGTTTCCTCTGTTTGGTCTCTGGTGTGTACTGTAAACTTTTTAAGACTCTGAGTTTATGCATGATGTTACAACTAAAACTAATAATAATCTAAGCTTAGGTTTAAAGAATCCTTTTATTTTCAAAAGAGGGTGTAAAGAAGAAAAGCAGAAATTTCCATCCTGTTTTTATCTGATGTTGGCCAATTATAAAGCTGGACAACAATGTGGGGTTTTTTCCCCAATAAAAATCTTTTTTTTTTTTAAATAAAAAAAGATTAAAAATGATCAATTTGAAAATATTTAAAATAAGTTCTTAGCCTGTAGAACATTCTTTGTTTGTTTTGGTCCTTTTTTTTTTTTAATAAGACCAGATTTATTTATACTTCTCAGACAAGGAGAAATAGGTTTTATTGACCACAAGTCTGTTTCTTCTCCTGTAAGAAGATACTCTTTATTCACTGTTTGGAAGCACATTCTAAATTATGAAATATATGGGTTTTAATGACATTTATGAATAACGTTCTAACTCTGCATTTACCTGTTTTGCAGATAACAGTTTGTGAAATGTAAGGTGGCTTTCTCTCTAATGACATTTTCAGCATGAGATTCATTTGTTCATATTGCACCTGCAAGACCGCACAAATCTAGAAGACCAAAAATCAAGGTTTAATTAGGAAAAACGAGTTGAAAATGACAGCAGATGGTACCTGGTAAAAACCAAACCTGTTAATGCTACATCTTCTTCATCTGCTCTCTAATGACATTTTCAGCATGAGATTCATTTGTTCATGTTGCAAGTGCAAGACCACACAAATCTAGAAGAACAAAAATCAAGGCTTAATTAGGAAAAATGAGTTGAAAATGACAGCAGATGTTACCTGATAAAAACCAAACCTGTTAATTCTACATCTTCTTCATCTAGTGGTGGCTTTCACTGGCTGCCAGGCTGAAGGAACTTCTTTTTTGTGGCAATGTTGCTTACTCTTGCTTTAAAAGCTTAAAATTGAAAACAACACAACTTCTAAGAATAAGGGTGGGGAAAGTTCTACCAACAAGCCAACACAAGCCTGTGAAATCAGCTTCGTCAGGTGGTGGCTCAGGGCTGATGACGAGGGAGGAGGCAGTTTCTCAGGAGCAGATGGCACAACCTCAGAGAAAAGGAAGTGCAAGTCAGATGGTACAAGTCTACAAGGCAAGGTATAAAACTATCCAATGGCCAGTAGTGGGGACAATCTGCCTCTCACAATTTAATCTTTCAGCTCTAGAGAGCTGCTTAGCCCCTGAAGGTTCAATCTCTTTCAAGATTTCACAGCATTTATTATTTTACTCTTGATATCACTTTCATTCTTTTAAATTCCTGGCCTCAACAACATCCTCTAACAATGATTTCCATCACCTTATTATGAAAATTTTGGCTTTCATTGCTTGTATTTTGCTGCTTTTAGTTTCATTGAGTGTCTTATTCCACTTCTATTATAAGATAGGGGAGACGAAAGCCCTTCTCTGTCTCTCTCACTGCTACCACATGCATAAAAAGTAATTTATCTGTTTATTTTTTTTTAAATTGCACTGTAATTCACTTCTCACATGCATTTCTCAGCTCTGTTTTTTAATTTTCTATTCTTTGTATTTTACTTTGTTGGCTGTTTTTCCTAATCCTCACTTGATTACTTCTGCGTTCTGTAAGAGCGCGAGAAACTGCCAAGCATTTTAACTTGTCTTTCTCAAAACTTTGAATGAATGTGGGTGTATTACCTGCAGAAATTACCTGCAGAAAAGGAAACTTGGAGAGAATGGAGGGCACTTTCTCTACTACCATCAGGATAGCTTCTATCAGTTGCTGGATTTCTGTGCACAGAATTTTGACAGATACAAAGGGTTGTAAGTAGCTTGATTCAAGAGGAAAAAAGGTTTACAGGAATTAAAAAAACTAATGACTTTTCTCAGTTTTGCTCCAGTACAGAGTTGATGGAGATAATCATGACCTAAACCTATATTTTATATTTGTTTCTGCATCCCTGGACAGCTTATAAATTGCACATGTACAGCAGTTGGTACATAAAAACTATAAAGAAAAAATGATAAGAAGAAACAGTAGATATGGTATAAGATATATTAAAAGTGGAGGGGGAAATGGGTGGTTAGTCATATGTGCGGTGGGTCGGATACAAACCTCCACTTGCTTTTGTTCCCTTGTTCTTAAGGAGAGGTTTTCAACTCGAGTTTGCTGATGGAACAGGAGGAATCTGGCTCATCTCGCCCAGCGAGTTCACAGTGCTATAGACCTCAGTGGTCACTTCACAAAGGCAGCATCTCACTTCCACAGACACACGTGAGCTTCTTTTCATCAGCCTGCACGCTGGGAGGTTAAATAAATACAACTTGAACTGCCCTTGCCGTGGCAGGAATATTGAAAGAAGGCTTTGGTGTGCTTGAGAGCTGTGCTGAAGCTCTGTGTGGTCTTTATGTACAAGGTAATAACGTTGTAATAAGTAAAATACAGTAAATACACGCATGTTAGAAAAGTGTTGATGGGGCTATGTCTCACTGGTGGAACGTGGAGATTCCTCATCTTCTACATAGGAATGAGCAGAAAAGACAGATCAATCTCTGGAGCCTAAACCTATACGCTTGTCTTCAGTAGTCTGGCTTGAAGAGGCATCCTTCTTGCTTCAAGGAGAACCGAGACACTATCCAACCAGTGAAGTCTTACTCTGTCCCTTGTAGGGTAAAAATGACCCCTGGATCCCGGAGATGTGACTTCTCCAGCCTCAACCCTGCACCGCTTCATATTAGCACCTGTTACTATTAGCAAGAAAGTACCACGGCAGGAGAAAAACAAACAGTGTGCTTGTTTCATTAAGGTCAAGATACACACACTCCTGTCACATCTTTGTTTTGTTGCACGGGCAATTCTTTGTGAGAACTTAAACAGTGAGATACTCTGCCAAGTGTCAGAGTTACACTGTTCATTCCAAAGCTGTCCCTGTGCAACCTCTTCTTAGAGAAACTTTCTGACACATTTCTGACTATTGCTCAAAGCGGTTTTGCAAAGGAATCCAAAACAAACAGTTCTCTCCTGGATCATCCCTGCTCAACCCTGCACCGCTTCATATTAGCACCTGTTACTATTAGCAAGAAAGTACCACGGCAGGAGAAAAACAAACAGTGTGCTTGTTTCATTAAGGTCAAGATACACACACTCCTGTCACATCTTTGTTTTGTTGCACGGGCAGTCTTCAGTAGTCTGGCTTGAAGAGGCATCCTTCTTGCTTCAAGGAGAACCGAGACACTATCCAACCAGTGAAGTCTTACTCTGTCCCTTGTAGGGTAAAAATGACCCCTGGATCCCGGAGATGTGACTTCTCCAGCCTCAACCCTGCACCGCTTCATATTAGCACCTGTTACTATTAGCAAGAAAGTACCACGGCAGGAGAAAAACAAACAGTGTGCTTGTTTCATTAAGGTCAAGATACACACACTCCTGTCACCTCTTTGTTTTGTTGCACGGGCATGCATTCTTTGTGAGAACTTAAACAGTGAGATACTCTGCCAAGTGTCAGAGTTACACTGTTCATTCCAAAGCTGTCCCTGTGCAACCTCTTCTTAGAGAAACTTTCTGACAAATTTCTGACTATTGCTCAAAACAGTTTTTCAAAGGAATCCAGAACAAATAGTTCTTTCCTGGATCATCCCTTGAGAAAAGTTCTCCTACAGCAAAACTCTCTGCTGAATTTATTTAACTCTGCAAGAACTAAATATAAGGTAGTTACTTCCTTGAGAAAGTGAGTGGAGAGTTGATCTCTCCTTGAACTGATGTGTGTCTGGGTAGGCTGGCACCGCTGGGGTCACATGTGTTAAGCTGTGGCATCCGAGGCTCAAGTACGAGGTGAAGGTCTTTTTCTGTTCCCAGAAAGGCCAACATTTCCCTTCCATCTTCTCCTGGATGACATTTCTTTCCTGGATCATCCCTTGAGAAAAGTTCTCCTACAGCAAAACTCTCTGCTGAATTTATTTAACTCTGCAAGAACTAAATATAAGGTAGTTACTTCCTTGAGAAAGTGAGTGGAGGGATGATCTCTGCTTGAACTGATGTGTGTCTGGGTAGGCTGGCACTGCTGGGGTCACATGTGTTAAGCTGTGGCATCCGAGGCTCAAGTACGAGGTGAAGGTCTTCTTCTGTTCCCAGAAAGGCTAACATTTCCGTTCCATCTTCTCTTGGATGACAATTCCAGGTGTGAGATGAAATGGTTCTGCTGCAGTGTAGACATCAGCCTGAAATGGGAAGTAGTAGTTGTAAGGCAAGCAACATAAACGACTTGGAACCTGCAGCATAAGCAGAAAGCTGTCCCCAGTTCTGCAGTGGGATTAAGAAGTGGTGCCTAGAGCGAGGTACTTCATGGGTCAACCTCAGAGCTGGACGTGGAGCTACACCACCAAGCTATTTGAAGATTTCCACTATACGCCAAGGTCACATTAGCTTTTTTGGATACCAGTGCCACGTTGGGAGCTGGTACTGCTTAGAGGTTTAAAGTTACTTTACCAGGTTCTGTCCTTCAGGTCCTTCCCCTGGAGGTTGTACTTCTTGGTCTGTATGGTTGAGGATGGCTCTGGGCTGGACCATCTTCACCTCACCAGCTCCCACCATGGGCACTTGCTGAAAGAGCAGGGCTCCATCTGGGGACAGAAGAAAGTAACATCAGTCTAATTCAATGCCCACAGCTCTTGCATTGTTGAAATGGAGCTGAGAGACACACCTTGTAGCTGCCGGCAGCTGAAATTTCTCCCAGACATAAGTAGGATGTAGAAGAGCATCCTAGGAGCAAGATTGGGGTTTAAGACAACTCCGAATTTTGGGTGTTGAGTGCAGCCCGATGAGGACTCCTCTGCACCAGCAGTGCCCAGGCAGAGACCCGATGTCCATCTCCTCCTCTGAAATGCCAGCTTCTCTCTCCTGGACCTCAAAGCAGTGGCCACCACACACCAGCGTTTGCTCCATGGCCCCCAGCTGGTCCCAGTAATCCCCACGGCCCGTTTGGAAACCAGCTGAAGGGCAAGCTTGTTTGTATCACATCAAAACCAGATACTGATGTATGTAGGGACCCAGTGCTGGAAGCAGGGGCTGCGGGGTGGCCTCTGTGGGGAGAGGCCACGGTTGCCCCGTGACAGACACAGCCAGTGCCAGCCCATTCCAACCAGCTCCAAACAACCCACCATAGGGCACGACTGAGCCCCACAGCCACGTTGGCTGCACCTCGGGGGGAAACGTATTTAAGAAGGGGCAAAACACTGCCTGGCAGAGTGTGAGGGAGAAACAGGGTGAGAAACAGCCCTGTGAACACCAAGAGGAAAAGGTGGGGAGGAGGTAGAGGGTTCCGTAAGGAAAGAGGGAAGTTGAACCTGGAAAGAAGAGCAGGGGGAGGAATCATAGAATGGTTTAGATTGGAAAGGACCTTAAAAATCATATAGTTCCACCCCACTGCCACAGACAGGGACACCTCCTCCTAGACCAGGTTGCTCAAAGCCCATCCAGCCTGGCCTTGAACCCCTCCAGGGATGGTGTATCCACAACTTCACTGAGCAACCCGTTCCAGTGTCTCACTACTCTTAGAGTGAAAAATTTCTTCCTGATCTAAATCTACCTTCTTCCGGTTTGAAGCTATTACCCCTCATCCTATCACTCTATGCCCGTGTAAAAAGTCTCTTTCCAGCTTTCTTGTAGACCTCCTTCAGATACTGGGAAGACCACTATAAGGTCTCCTTTGAGCCTTCGCTTCTCAGCCTGCTCTTGTAGGGGAGATGCTCTCTGATAATCTTTGTGGTGTTTAGGAAGCTCTTTCCTCATATTCTGGAGAAAAAGTTCACTTAGCAAAGGAATTAAGATCAACAACTACAGACTTTACCAAATTTTCATATGAAACCAATCTGTGATTAAAACAAGGACTAAACTGTAATTGCAACTGACATTAGGAAGGCAGGTGACAGTTAAGCCAGCGTATAAAATTCATATTCCTGGCAATGAGGGAAAAGTATTTGTAGTGTTGAGAACTTCAGTCATGCTGAAGCTGGGGAGACTGATGAGCTCTCAAGTGGGCAACTCATTCATCAAATATCAGATGACTGTACTCACTGCATTCCAAGGTCAAGCAGCATCTTATTTCTCAACCTATAGCTAACAGAGGAATTAAACAATGTCATTAGGGATCGAGCACACATCTCTTCTTGTAAACTATATCATTAATATAAAACTATAAATAACAGATATGAAACCCCAAGATAAAATCCTACAGAGCAGCTTTTCAAAGCATAAATGCCATTTATCAAAGTGATTAAAAGCATTTGAAATTCCTTTGTCAAGTCATCTGCTGAAATCACAGATTAAAAAAAAACAAAAAACAAAAAAAGAGAGGAAAAGAAATAACATTTTGAGTTTGGCAAGTATCAGACCTTAGATAGGAACTACACCAGGTTTGTGTGACTGTTTACTACCTTTCCTTCACTTCTCCCTTCTCTGCTTTATAAAAGCAAATGAGGCATACAGGTTAATAAGGATCCCCTTCGTATCAAGTATAAAGAATTTATCCTCCAAGAAAAGTAAAAATAAAGCACACAAGCCTCAACTTTCATTCATGACACAACACAACATGACCACAGAAAAATAAAAAGTTTATTTGATTAGAAAAGATCCTCTAGATACAGCAGTTATACAAAAATACCACCTAGCAGTCAATTTGTTTCCTAATTCAGTAATTACAGAGCAGCTTAGTTATAAAGGCACAATGCTGACATTTCAGACAAGTCAGTAATGTCCAACAGAACTGGCAAGAGAAACACCTCCCTTCTACTTTCTTTCAAAAACACTCGTTTCACTTGCCTGCAGTGATACTAAAACCAACAAAGGCCTGCACTGGAAACAATCATCATACAAAAATCTGATCTGGATCTCAGAAGCAGCAGAACATGCTGAAGCTTTCAGTCAGCAACTCACATTTTCCTTTTCTCTCTTCCAAAAAAGTCTCCAGGAAGACAGCATGCTTGCTGCCATTCCACTTGCTTAAAATCACCAGAAAAATCTCAAGAAGAATGAAGGAAAAATACAGGCTAGTAGTGAAGTGTTACAAAAGACACCTGCCTACTTTGTTTTGTATGAGCGAACGCAAGATACTGCCCATTGAAACTCCTTTCCAACAGCCCTTTACCTTCTCCCTAAAGTATAATTGGACACGTGCAATCTGACAGGCATCTTAAACCCAGCACAGCTGTTGTTTTAGCCAGGCACACTAATTCGCTTTCATGTCATAATACATGTGGAGAACTCTCCTCACAGTCTCCACGTACTTGTCATCAGAAATTGGTTTTCTCTGGCTTCCGGGCTGCAGAAATTTCTTGATTGTGGGGATGCTGCTTATCTTTGCTTTAAACGCCTACGAGATGAACAGCAAGTAAAGAATTTTAAGGACATGTGGTATTCAAAGAACACAAAGTAACACAATTTAAAAAAAATTACTGATTTGTGTAACATCCTTTAACAAGTTGTTAGTGGAGGCGAGACAGGAAATAGAGTCTTAGCGACGGGTGAGTTTTACTCCCCCTTGTTCTGACCTTATTATTTTAAACAGTAATAAACCAGCCCTCTGTCTTGTATGGATGAAGTGGAAACAGTTATCTGTGGTTTCAGATGTGTACTTTACTCAAATCACTTCTTGTGATCCAGAAAATACCTTCTGCTTAAAAGTATCACAGAACTGGTGGTGAGGGGAGGGAAAAAACAGGGAGGGTGGATTTCTTCAGATCTGTACAAGGATTACTCCAGAAAATAACGGATTCTCTAGATGCGACTTATTATGAGGTTTTTCTTAAAGCAAGCAGACCAAAACTACAATGAAAGAGGAGAGACAAATGCTCTTGTTTTGAGGAATTATCTACACACAACCAACTTTGAAATATCATTTATCGCGTTTCCAGCCCTATGAGTATATTTTTAGTGTAAGGTACCTGTAACCGAGGAAAGCCTGAGAGCACGTCTGACTTCTTCTCTTCTACCATTAAAATGGCTTCAAGAAGATGAACATCTGCCCAACTAAAATTGTTGCCAACAAGAAAGTCCTGCCCATGGGTTTTCAAAACCTGGAAGTGTAATAAATGAAAATGTTCAGATGTTGTATAGCCAGCTGGGGTTGACGCTTTCGAAATGCACAGGCACATCTTCTTTGACAATACTTACTGCCCCCTCTTCCATTCTCCTTTCCCTCCCATGCAACTAGGGATACTACCAGTGTGGGGAATGTGGGGCCAGTGCCCGCAGCCACTGATCATTTTTATGGGACATCTCCATGAGCAGTCCTCACAGTGGCAATCTGGAATCCCAGGGCTTCTCTTACCCATCCTGCCTCCCTATAGCCCTAGGTAACCCCACGTTCTGGACCATAGGGCTAGATACCTCCTTGGTATTCACTCCTTTCCAGCCTAATAAATCTTGTCATTTTCTGTACGTAGTTACAAGCTTCAATGGGAAAATAGAGAATTTAAGAGAGGTGATCAGCCTAAAGCATCGGGGCTGGGATGCAACAAGTGGAATCTGGGGCAGAATGAACTCTGGCAGCCATTTATAGGAAAGCTGGTCTTTCCTATAGAAAGACAGTGGGGAACTGTCTTCCCTTTAGTCTTTAAAACCGAAAAGCAGCTATTTCTGCCAGACCATCCTGTCTCTGTATATTCATTTCCACTGACAGCACCTCTTGGGTCCTGTCTCTCAAAGGATCAGTTAAACACCAAGATTCCAGTATGGCCTACGCAGCAGACCACTCACACTAGAAGACAGTAGTGATACCTTGGATTACTGTAGTTAAAAAGACACGTAGAGGTATGTGAAACGTTAAATAAAGCTGATGAAAGCTATTCTAAAATGGCATTGCCTTCACAGTGCAAGTTACGCAGTTTGATTTCTCCAAAAAACAGGAAGTTGTTATTTTAACTGTATATTGCTGTGTTTACACGTTCATTGGTTCATAACAGTTTTGAGCCAAAGGGGAGACTTGGACTCTTCAGTCTGAACGTTGATGCTGCTCAAACAATGAAATCTCAGTCAGGAATTTCTGCGTTGAACCCACTCTATAACTTGTCTCATTCTGCTCTGACCTCCCTCTCATCTCTCCAGCCCACAGACAGTAGGATGTCCTGGTTTAAACAACTGCACTGACACCTTTCTCCTTCTGCTTTCAGGAAAATATCCTAAACAACTGCACTGACACCTTTCTCCTTCTTCTGCTTTCAGGAAAATATCTAGTGTTCCCATTGGTATCATTCCAGAACAATGGAAGGAAATAATCCTCCTACATACCTTTTCATATACTGGGAAATATCTTCTGATTGCCTTTTCAACTATGACAGCACGTTGTTTCTCTTTATCCTCAGCGGATAAGAATGGGAAAATCAAAATGAAGCCCATAAGGTCATCAGTTCCTCCAACATACATATCGATCCTTAAAACCAAAGCAAACACAAGCCTTAAATAAGACAGCACCTTCATAAGCAGAGTTTTCTTAGATTTGTGTTGTGATACTAAAAGCTGAATTTCCCACCCACCTCATGTAAGTTATTTTTGCAGTTAAAAAAAAAAGTCACAGTCCGAGTCTCACTCATATTTGTAGTGTTGTTGGCACTTTACTTGCCTCATTGTGCAGGATTCAACAGGACTGTACAGAGCTTAAAAAAGTTTAACTTTGGTGTCACAGATCACCTCAGAATCACCAAAGAATCACTCAGCACCACAAGAAGAATCATCCCCAACAGGCTCAGTTATCTGGATGTATCCCACCTTCAAGGTTTCATCCAAAGTCCAAATGGTGCCAAATAGATTTAATAATGGAGTTGGAAACCTGAAGTGCACCAGGTTCCACATCTAGCTAAATTATTACTAAAGCAGTTCTTCAGTTTGTCCCTTTTATCCATTTTTCCAGATCTTTGACAGCAGGTTTTCTACTGTAGACAAGACTCAAATTTAAATTAAGTCCTCATGAATATGAATAAAATGCCTGGTAAAATAGGCTAACAAAGTCTTCTAACCATCCTGTGTCACAGGAGGTTTGAGTTCCTGCTGTGCAATAAAGACTAACCGCAGTTTTTTGTTGTCAGGCAACAGCTCCTCGAGAAAGCCTCTGTAAGGATTCAACACGTTGTGTGTGATAAGAAGCTATCAGATATTCCTGCAAGCCTTAACTTCCTGCAAGCCAGCTTCTCCCTGCATCTATCCAGTCTGTGCTTCCACCCTCTGCAAGACCAGCTCTCCCAACTACTTAAACGTGGAGCTGATCTCAGCAAGCCTTCCTTCAAACACTGACTCTTCCTTCCCCCTGGCCAAGGACAAAACAGCAAAAATACTTCATTTATGTTTGCTGATAAAACAGCAGGAATAGGCTTCAGGCTAAATCAAAAACTCGATGGAAGAGAATTCTGTTTGAAGGAGGAGGTATGCCAGAAATGCAAGCTCCAGGAAATGATGGCTTATTAACAACACAAAGAAGCTGATAAGCTATCCCTGAGGTTCCCGTCTGAATATTCATTCTTTTTGTAAAGCCCCTAAACCTGCTTCAGCCATTTCTTCCAACCATTCAAACCATTTAATGGCAGTGTAATGTGAAGTATCTATTAAAGTCAGATGCTTTACTAGCTGACCTTTAGTTTTACCTTCTTTTGAAAAACAATAGGAAATCGAAAATGTAAAGGCTACATATTGAGATATGTAACCCAATCATATTTTTTTTTCCTTCACATAGACACAACATCAAGACCTGGATTTAATTTCACATGAAACCAGAACTTTTTCCAAGTTTTCAGCTGTTCCTTCTCCAACTCCCAAAGACCTAAACCATGCATTTTTTACAGTGCTGTGGAACATCACGCAGGCACAGATAACATCAATGACAGATCTAAATTTGCAGCCAAAAGTTAAAAACTAACCACTGCTTTCCAAAAAGTTTTCTGTTTACAGAAGTAATTCAACATTTACAGGCCAGTCACCTCTCGAATACCTGTGTCAACCTGTATTAATCTTTTACTAAAGCACAGTATAACCCTGCCTCAAATATTTTTATGTAAAAATAATCAAATTAGAACAAATCAGTTGGCTTGCATCTGACTGTGGCCTGTCAGGCTCCCTGTAAGTTGTGTGTCACTAAGGCACACAAGTGATCCTCTGGGCGAGCAAGCATGCCATTTATTCTAGATGTTTTCTAGATTCTAGATGTATTCTAGATGGGACTGTTTAGTATGAGGAAGAGGAGGCTGAGGGGAGACCTCATCACTCTCTACAACTACTTGAAAGGACACTGTAGAGAGGTTGGGGCTGGTCTCTTCTCACAGGTAATTAGTGACAGAACAAGAAGGAATGGCTTCAAGCTCCAACAGGGTGGGTTTAGATTGAACATTAGGAAGGAATTTTTCACAGAAAGAGTGGTCGAGCATTGGAATAGGCTGCCCAGGGAGGTGGTTGAGTCACCATCCCTGGCTGTGTTTAAGGGACTGAGGGATATGCTGTAGGGGAGGACTTTGTAGAGTAGGGTAGATGGTGGGACTCAATGATCCCAAGGGTCTCTTCCAACCTGAATGATTCTATGATTCTATGTATCTAAGCTACTATAATAAATTCAAGTAGAGTAGTATTGTTACAGTACAGGGTTCTCTCCTTCAGGTCCTTCCCGTAGAGGTTGTACTTTGCTGCTATGTAGTTGGCGATGGCTCTGGTCTGCACCATCTTCATCCCATCGATCTCCACCATGGGCACTTGCTGGAACAGCAGGGATCCATCTAAAGGGAAAGCCACACATTATTCTACTGGATCCGGTGACTCCATGTCTGATTTCTTGGTGTCTTCAGAAGATCACTACTTCTCTGGTGACCTTGCTGTGGGTAGTCGTTTTATTAAGCAGGAGTTCTTCCATGCAAACACCAAATTACAGTGGCACAGACAAACTAAACTGCAGAACACAATTATTGTGGATTAACATCCTTGTTTTAAAAAAATTTCACTGAAGTTGCAGTCAGGACTGGGTATAGCAGCTTTTATGCTGAAATTGAAATGCAGTGGAGACAAATCACACTAAACATATCAACTGAGTAAAAAGTGTCTAATTCTAAATACATTTTTAAAATTTTGTTCCATTATTTAAAACACAGTTGAAGCAAATGTCAGATTCCAAAATTTCTCTCTTATAACCAGTATCCTAAGCTAAATCAGGACAGTCAATGAAGTTTTAGGATACTTTTTTTCAAGTTACTGAAGCCCAGGGTAAGTTTGTGAGACCAGGTGGGATATGTAGACAAATGGAAAACAGAACAAGCCAGAAGCCTGGGAAACTCTCCAGGCTGGAAAGACATTCAATTTTCAATTGCATCTGTCCACGTATGAGAAAAAAAAAATAATCTGCCTCCGCAGCTGTTCACAGCTCTCAGATTTACTCCTCTCTCTGCTGTGTGGAAAGAAAGTCCCACACAGTCTTCAAAATCTTCTCTTCACACCTCTTCTCTGGAACTAAGTAAAGTCTGGTCACACTTTTATTGAGGTTTCATATGGAACTCACCTTGCAGGAGCTTCTCATACTGCTCTCGGGTTTCCAAAAACTCTTCTTCAAACTGACAAAAGAGAATGAGCGAGGAGGAAATTAGTGTCTTTTCACATTTCTGGAACAGATAAACTATTTAAGCGTCATAAAAGGAAGAGAATATACATCATAGTTCCTTCCATGCCAGATATGGCTCTAAGGGAGAAAATACCAAGGGTAAAACCTCGTGGATTGTCACATTTGGGTAAAACCTCGTGGATTGTCACATTTGACCAATGCTGCTAAAGGCAACCCTAGCAGAAAATCAGGCACTAAGAACTGGAGTGAGGATGGTTTGTTTGATATTGAACAGGCAATTTAATGTGAGACAGTCAACAATAGAGAGTAGGCTGCCCTTAAAATGCTTCCTGGTATGTGGGAAAAATCTCTGTTGTGGGCTATTTTTATCTAGGAGCTGGACAGGAATGAATTCTTAGAAAGTTAAAACAAAGTTTTTGCAAAATAATGTAAAAGCATTAAGCCCAGTGGGAAGTTTAGCATGGAAGCATGTTTAGGACGTCTAAAGATTCATTTATTCACTAGACAAGAAACAAAAAGACACATAATTGCCTGGAGTACTGCGTCCAGCTCTGGAGCCCTGAGCATAAGAAAGACATGGGCCTGTTAGAGTGGGTCCAGAGGAGGGACACAAAAATGATCAGAGGGCTGGAGCACCTCTGCTGTGAGGCCAGGCTGAGAGAGCTGGGGGTGTCCAGCCTGGAGAGGAGAAGGCTCTGGGGAATACCTAAAGGGGGCCTGTAGGAAAGATGGGGAGAAACTTTTTGCAAGGCCTGTTGCAACAGGACAAGGGGTAATGGTTTTAAACTAAAAGAGGGAAGATTTAGACTAGATAGAAGGAGTAAATATTTTACAATGAGGGTGGTGAAACACTAGCACAGGTTGCCCAGAGAGGTGGTAGATGCCCCATCCCTGGAAGCATTCAAGGTCAGGTTGGATGGGGCTCTGAGCAACCCATTGAAGATGTCCCTGCTCGTTGCAGGGGGTTTGGACTAGATGACCTTTAAAGGTCCCTTCCAACCCAAAGTCCATAAAAGAGGACACTCGGAGCAACTGCTAGTCCTTTCTGTCATCAAACTGAATTATCAGTTTATCACCAAGATACATATCAAATGAACAAGTAAATCACACCTCATAAAAAAAATAAATTCTTTAAAGTGGTGTCTTGCTTCTCTGGTTTATCCAAATATTTTTCCTCCTGCTCTGAGATTTCTAACTTCCCTACACATGTAGGTCAGTTTGCTCACTTCACCCTGTTACGTCTCAACCAAATGATGCAATTAAGACGAAATATATTTTATGCTATAGCTTATTGTGGAGGATGCAGCCAGTGGAGCGAAAGATAAAACAAGAATCTGCGTGTGAGCATCCAACTGAAAACAGAAAGACTAGAGAAAGCAAATTCATTGCTATTTTACTTGGCACAGATAACACTTGTTATGCCAGGAACGCATCTATCATTCAGCTCAACAGCTCGGGGTCAGTAATCGAATGCTTAATTAAGCATTACTCATTCTTGCATTAAGCAAGAAACTGGTTTACAGTGTCATTGCTCAGAAGACATGTGACTTGAAGCCATACTTTGCTGTGCCTAAAGTAAGAGTGTTTAATTACACTGAACAGCCGATGCCCATTTACTATTGCATCTTGGGATGTCCCTTCTTTTTTGGTTAATAACCTGTGACCTCAAAGACAAGCTTACCAACGTGCAGCTTAAAGTTAAAAACACTAAAACAAACCTCGACCCCAGCTGCAGCTAACAACCAGCGAACTGACTCCATCTTGCCTCTTCCATCAAAGTAGTAGAGTTTCGGTTTTCCGGACATGACTTCAAACTTCCAGTTACCTAAAATAGTTATAAAAGATATAAAGTTAGTAATCATACAAAAATCTGATGTCAGCTGGAATAACAGTTCACAGGGCACTCACATGACAAAGATTTAAATTAATTTCTGATGAAAAATTTCAGTAACGTTTCAGTCTGAAGTGATTTGATTTTACTGCTGCACAGTTAAGTATATTATAATCTTTTAATTCCTCTGAAATTCAGGAAGAATAATCAAGTTGCTACATAGCAGATAACAGGAAAAAAATAAAGACACCACTACGGAAATCCTTAAAACTTTTAAAAACCATAAATTTTAGCACTTAGGTTACTCAATCGCCACTGAAAGCCAAGTTTAGATCAAAGGGGAGAAGAGGCAGTAGAGAGGTTTTTCAAATCTGGCTGTCCTTTTATCAAAGAATGCCAAAGGTATCTAAACGTTAATTCTACACACACTTAGGTGAAGTATGAGAATGTATATTCAAAGCCTCTCACTTTTCTTTCTAGCTGTGGTGATGCAGGGTAACTATGTGATCTGGAATCAGTAGAAATTTCAAAAGAATGAGCTGTTTCTTCTGTAATAATCCAGAATAATATACAAAGATTCAGACTGTTGCACTATTCAGCCTTCTACTGGTCACATTTCTTTCTATTAATAAACCCTGTTCCTAAGCAAAACTTTATAGACTTCTCAGTTGATTAAATACACCATGCATCAGCAGCATTTAGCTCTTGGATGGCTTCACAAACAAGGCTATTAATTGTTATTTTTTGAATAGATGAGTGTTTAGGTCTCAGCAGGAACTGGATTCCACTGTAGAGCCATAGAACAAGGGAGCGTCAAATTCCATCACACGGGCATTTCACACCCAGAATTCCATAACAGCAGTTCCTTGCTGTTTTCCCTCTGCAGGGACATTTCTTGTTGTGCCAATCCACCGTTCAAGCAATCCTGGAAAAGAGCCTGTTGGCAGGCTGTTGTGTCAAGAGGCAAAACAGTTTTGGCAGAAAATAACCCCCCTTGCGTTCTAACACTCCTCACCGAGGTGGGAGGCTGGGGACAGCTAGGTTTAAATTCTGAGTGATGCCCAATTCACCACTATCAGTCCAGTCGTGTTTAATATATTAAACTATCCTGATTCCAGATGCACTGACAGTGGACTGCATCTTCAATCTGGTCCTCCTCAGGAACCAGCACGGCCACTGCCTGAGGTTTGGTCGCGTTCAACGAGAAACCAAAATAACTAGCTACTTAAGCACTGCGGTTTATTTCAGCAACAGGTATGAAGGTTCTTAGGGTTTGCTGGTGATAAATACACTGTCTGCAAAACATGGGCAAGTAAAAGTATTGTCAACAGTACAAAGTGCGCGATAAAGTTACAAACAATCCAGCCTGGCTATAAATGTAAAAGGTGTAACCCTCTAGAGAGATCTCTGAGTTCCCTGAGGAGGGACTCTCAGTAGAGTCTAAGTCTTACCCACAGGTGTCCCTATGGGGAGAAGAAAAGCTCAGCCCCTCCACTGGTCCCAGGAGTCAGAGGCAGTCCGTGATGGGATCCTCCTGGACTTGTTCACCATGGTATCTTCCCTAGCATCCCCCCTTTCTTGGGCTATTTTTATACTATTTTTTACCTTCAAGGTGGAGTTTGAGTGACTTTAGCCATAAATACCTTTATTATGATTGGTGTAAAGTTCTCTCGCCTCACATTTAGAGGTAGAGTTTATGAAAAACTCAGGGTGCAGACTCAAGGAGGAGCAGTCACACCTTGGAGGCTTGCAGCCTTCGGGCTGGAGGTGTGCTTTGGTATTATAATGACATGATAATGAGCAAAGTTCGCACAAAGGACAGCATTTCATCGAAAGCTGACAGACCATTGGCACGCCGCTTATCAGTTCCATAGGATCACCTTGTTCCTAGATCTGCTGGGTAATCACAGAGCTTGGCCGTGGAATCTTCACCCCACTCCATCCTCCGTGTTGCTTTTGCAATCAGGGAGTCGGGGATGTAGCGGGTTCCTCGCACACCAGCCGCCGCTGTGTTCTACCTTGGAAACATTTCAATTTTATAGCTTTCCTTAATGTGCGAACAGTGCTGCATATTTTTAATAAAAGTGATGTTTTAGGAATTATTCCACACAGGCAAACAACAACCTCCAGTTCCCAGTGTGGCAAAAGCTCCTTCATAAGTGGAGGGAAAAATAGACCTTTTGAAAGACCTTGAGCACACCCGAGGCCAGCGATCCGCTTGTGAGCCAACGGGCACCAAAATAGAACACAAAATACATCTGAGCAAGGGAATTCAAACAAGTCAGGCTATTCGGCCTGTCATGCCTGCTTTGGGGCCTCTGCTTCTTCTTAGGGAAGTCACCGGGAACTCAAACATTGCTGAGCAGGGTCTATACTGGTAATAAAAACACTAAAGAGAAAGAAAAAAAGACTAATGAAAAGCATCAGTGTGAACTACACGAAGGAACAGAATGAACCAGGAGTTGCTTGTAATACAGCTACACTCACAGAAAAAGAAAAAGAAAAAGCCAGAGGCGATTTTTTAACTTGAAGTTTAAAAAAATTAAAGAATTATTTTTAAAATTTTAAACAAACTTTTAAAAAAGTTACTTTTCTTCAGTGCACTTTCCCAAGATGTGCTCCTAGCAGGCCAACTGACATGTCACAGGAGATAAGTCTGTCGCTGTTGCCAAGCTCACATCAATGAGCAAAGGCAAAGGGAAGGTAAAGAGAGCAGAGGCAAAGGGAAGGTAAAGGCGTGGTGGCTGCTTGCCTTGTATCTACAGGGGGATCCACAAGCGTTGAAGCAAGCTGTGGTCTTCTGGTTCCCAAGAGTGAGCCCACCATGCAATATTGGAAGAGAAAGTCCAACTTGTGAACTGAAACTCCCTTCCCCACTCTTCCCACCAGAAGTAAAAGAGGGAAAAACAGCAATTTGCAGCCAGGATCCACAATCGCAGGTTGCTGGCCATTCCCCTCAGCCCGACATCTCAACAGCAAAAGGGACTTTGGGAAAAAAGGATCTGAATTTACTCTCTTGTTGTGATTCATGAAGGCCACCTGGGCTAACAGAGGGGAAGAGGGAATATAAATATCTCGCAAGAAGTCCTCGCTCCCATGCTAGCCACACAGCCCAGAAGAACATGAACATTGGTGAAGAGGGCACATGCCTGGCATGACCTGCAGATCACAGAATTGTCTAGGTTGTAAGAGACCCTTCAGATCATCGAGTCCAACCATTGACCTAACACTGACAAAAAACATCACTAAACCCTGTTGCTAAGCACCATGTGTACCTATCTTTTAAGTACCTCTAGGGATGATGATTCCACCACTTTCCTGGGCAGCCAGTTCCAGTGCTTCATAACTCTTCACTCCTGGTGAATAAATTGTTCCTAATATTTGATCTAAACCTCCCTTGGCAGAACTTGGGGCCATTTCCTCTTGTCCTATTACTTGTTACTCAGAAGAAGAGATGGACACCCACCTCTCTATGACCTCTTTTCAGGTAGTTGTAGAGAGCAGTAAGGTCTCCCCTCAGCCTCCTCTTCTCCAGAATGAACATCCCCAGCTCCCTCAACCTCTCCTCATAAGACTTACTCTCCAGACCCCTCACCAGCTCCATTGCCCTTCTCTGGACCCGCTCCAGCACCTCAATGTCTATCTTGTAACAAGGGGCCCAAAAGTGGACACCGTACTCAAGGTGGGGCCTCACCGGTGCCCAGTTGAGGGCAATCCTTTCACTGCTTGCACCCACCAGCCCTCAGCCCAACAGCAGCTGCTCTTTTCTTCACAACGCCTCTCATCACGTTAACACCAACCTGGGGGCAAAGTCCCCTGCTCAGCCCATGACTGGCAGCAGCCTCCAGGGCCACCAGCTCCAGCCCCTTCCACTCATGACAAGCTCTTTGTAGTTATGAGAAGAAGAGTGGTTCACGTTATTAAATGGGGAGCCGCCACACTCATAAGCCTCACCTCATAAGGTGAGGGTAGGGCTTGGAGGCAAAGAGCAGGGCAGAGCAAGCAAACGCTGGTGCACCTCAGTGCAGGGTGCCCAGGGAGGCCCTCGGCAGACCCCCGAGCCACCACAGCACCCACCCCCTCTGCCCCGAAGCCAGAGGACACCAGAGTGGCGAGGGGATGAAGAGAAATCGCAGGAACTCACTTCAGTCACACAGGGGACAGGAGTAACGGACGGCGAGCAAAGAAGTAAACGCGGCTTTTCACTAGCGAGGCAGCAGCGCGTCCACCCCGCCGGCGGGCCACCACCAGTCTGTGGCGAGCTGCCACCCTGTGAGGAGCCGAGCCGAGCCGAGCCGAGCCGAGCCGAGCGCCAGCGCGTACCCGCGTACCCACCTGCCCCGCCAGCCGCCGCTGTGGCCACCACGCCAAAGCCCCGCCCACCCGACTCAGCGCAGCGAGGCGGTGACAAAGAGGGACATCCGCCAATAGGAAGCGCCTGCTTTGCATATTTCGCAAAGACTTCTGGGAGGTTTTTCCTAAAATAAATAAGCCTAAATAAACAGTTAAAAAATTGTAACTGCTTTATCCGAAAGTATTTTATCACAGCGAATAGGTGACTTCAGAGTGGCTCCCATTGAAATTGGAGCCTTGTGGTGTCGCCATGAGGTAAAAGTGTTGAGGATTCTAGCCCTTATATAACTCCTCGGGAAGTTCTAACATTCGGATGTGAGGGCGATCTGGCTGCGACATCTGTCACCCCATTGATCGCCAGGGTTGATTTGGCTGATCTGGCTGGCTAGGCGGGTGTCCCCTTCCTCCCTCACCGCTCCATGTGCGTCCCTCCCGAAGCTGCGCGCTCGGTCGAAGAGGACGACCTTCCCCGATAGAGACGTACCGTTCATCGGTCAAGGGTATACGGTAGCTGCGCTCCCCTGCTAGAACCTCCAAACAAGCTCAAGGTCCATTTGTAGGAGAACGTAGGGTAGTCAAGCTTCCAAGACTGCAGACACATCCAAGTGAGGCACTGCATGGGGCAGTCTGCCATTGTTTTGTGCCTCTCCCAAACACCACATTGGGTCTTTTATAGTCTTGATCTGATCAATGCTTATAAATACTTAAAAGGGAGGGTGTCTTTTTCCAGTGGTGCCCAGGACAAGAGGAAATGGGCACAAACTTGGACATAAGTTCCACCTAAACATGAAAACCTAAACTTCTTTACTTTAAGGGCAGCAGAGCCCTGGAAGAGGCTGCCCAGAGAGGTGGTGGAGTCTCCTTCTCTGGAAACATTCCAAACCCCGCCTGGACACGTTCCTGTGCAACCTGCTCTAGGTAGACCCACTCTGGCTGGGGGATCGGACTAGATGATCTCCAGAGGTCCCTTCCAACCCCATGTGCGTCTATGATTCTATGAATTGCCTCCAACCTTGAAAGCAGGGGGAGAAGGCTGAGTTGAGGTGACACGAGAGACAGTACTCCAGTCAGAAGGGACCTACAGGGACCATCCAATCCGACTGCCTGCCCTTCTTCCAAGATGTTGATACCTAAGGCAGATTTTATGTAGTTTAACCATTTAGAAACTATAGAGAATCTTCTCTTAGCTACATTTCTTCTCTATTTTAGCAACCGTCCCAAATGGTTTCAAGGACTTAGTAAGATAAGAAGATGTCTTTGGCTCTGAGAACATGGTGACCCAAGACAGGGATGCCATAAATACGGCCACTGCCTGCCAAACAGGTGGTAGCAGGAAGATCATTAGTTTTAATGAGCAATTAAGCAGTTAGAATGTTTTGCCAACATGAAAAGTGAGCCAAAGGACGGGTGAAGAAGGTGAAGATGGAGGAAGAAACAGCCCTCACTCAAAACGAGAGCCACCAGAAGGCACGACGACGCATGCAAAACAGAAATGTAATGAATAAAGAATTCCTGCTTTCCCAACTTTCAGTTGAGTCTTACATAGTTTGACTTGTGGGTTTGTGGAAATGCCATGACACAGCTTCTGCTTCAATTCAGCACGGCAGTTAGTTCCAGAGGGGGTGACATCCAAGGACTGAACCCCCAGCCTCAACAGGAAGCTCACCCCACATTGCAGAAATTCCATGCTGAAACTCCAACGCCACGGCAGACAGAGCAGAGCCGGCAGGAGGCACCGCTCCGAGGAGGAGGCACCAAACATAAGGCACTCACCAAACCAACCCCACCCCAAACTAAAGCACCAAGACTCCAGCCAGGCAGTGTTTCTTCAAGAGTAACTTTATTCTGGGCAGGAGACTTGACACAAGAGGAATGAAACAAACATTTATAACGTTTTTTGAACAAAAACACTGAATTAACAAGAGATGTTCTCCAAGACCTTACTCCCTCTGACAATCCCACTCTCTCCCTCCACACAAGTTCAAAAATGTTCTTTCAATATAGGTTTTTTCTCGATTTATGGAACACCCTGTTCACATCAACAGCCTTGGTAGGTACAGAAATACCGTGGAAGGGGGTTTTCTGGGTTGGGTTTTTTTTGGCTAATGTCATGGCACGCACTTACACAAGACTTTTAGGAGACTCTGGATTACAGAGGGGAATGAGACCACTGTCAGGCTGCTTTATTTCCAACGGTCACTATTACATGTTACACATAAAAGCCTGAGGAAATGTAAACAGTAGAATTCTAAAAACATTTTGCATAAAGACGCTGCTAAATATTAAAACCACAAAGTAGTAGGTAACCAATGATAAATTCTCAGATATGCTGCTTGTCCACATTTCAGTATAATAAAGACCTACATCATTTCCATGTCTGTATTGCACAGAGGCAGCCCAGGAAAACACACCGCTCAGACCACTCGCTCCTCACTCAAACCCAACTTCTGCCAAGTTCAGCAGGAATTTGCTTGAGTAAAGGGCTCCAAGACCATTGCTGTTATACTCCTGCTGAGCACATTTTCCATCCCACCAAGGTAAACTATCAGAAGTGAATCTCAGCATCAAGGCTATTAGCTTTTTTCCCAAAATAAAGGCTTCCATTTGAGAAAGGAGGAGATATGCCAAAAAAAAAAAAAAAACCACAACTTCTTTTTTCTAATCTTTTTGCTGGACTGACCAAAACCTGAATGCTATAGTCAAGAAAAATCACTGCAGGGCTGATAAAGGTTCAGATTCATCCTGTGTTATGTGAAATACATGGAGTAGTCCCCGTCTTTAGCGGAAAGACCTGGGCACCTCCAGAGGGCTACTCAGTTATCAGTGAACCAAATTTCTCACTCACCACTGGTTTAGAGTCAGCTCCCACCAAAGGTGCTCACGCCTGTGGTTAGGTAGGATAATTCCAAGCCTCAGCAGCCCATTCCTGTGTCCTGCTCGTCTCCTGCTTCCACTAGTAGGAATTAAGGGTATGGAACAGACTAGTTAATTGCCTACTAAGGTCTAGGGATACTTAGAGGAATTAAGGGTATGGAACAGACTAGTTAAATTGCCTACTTAGTTCTAGGGATACTTCAGATAGGTTCAGGAGACCAATTATTATCATTGAGACCAATTATTTGCTGATAAGATAAAATAAATTAAATGATATCTAGACATAAATACAGATATTTATTTCCACCAAGAGAAACAATTATCTTTCCAGTTCTAACACAAATATACACATTTCCCTTTCCGCTTACCCAAAGCCACCAGCAGTGTGTGCTTTAGAAGTCCAATGGCTGCCTTTCTGTTACTGCTGTGCGTTGGCATCGCTGCTTCGGAAGCAGTTTGGAGTTGGCACTCTGATCCAACATACAACAAATAACAGAGTAGCTGGACACATAATGTGTCCTTGGCATGTGTAAGTCTTATATGTATGTTTTTTTTTTAAATGCATAGACTCTTCTGCTCCCTTGTTGTCTCGTACTGTCTCACTGTGGACTGAGTCTGTAAAAGCAGTGACCAACGCTCCTCACGGTTCCCCCGTAGCACTGAGCCAGCAGCCTACTCCAGGGTACCATCTCCCCCACGTCCCACCTGTGTCACCCGCAGCCTCCAGTCCACAGGGGCTGCCTGATCCCACAGAGAGGGTCTCACTGACACACAAACCATTCAGCCCCTTCGAAAGGGCCGGATGCTGAGAACCACACCTGCTCTGATCCCTTCAGACTGGATTTAAGTCTCACAAACACAGGGTTTGCCTGATCTGTTCATACAGTGAGCTCAGGTGGGTTTCCCAAAAGGTGAGTGTTTCTGTACACCTCAGCCTTGGCGGTACCATTCCAAAATGCAGCTACAAAAGATGCTCTCCCACTACACTGTTTGATCTTCCTTCTGCACTGCTTTATCTTCCTCCTGCGTAGGGAGGTGCAGGAACACCCACCCAAATGCCAAATGTGATCTAAACCAACCCTTTGCTGATGGCCAGACTCTGGTGTTCCTTTCCAGTGCAGAATTAAACCAGACTAAAGGGTTATTTTCTTTTCTCTACAACCTGATAATTCATTTTCTCTTATACAGCCAGTTAAACTGCTTTTTCAAAAGAGCTGCATCGCTTTCTGTGAAATCAACCACAATTTTAGCATGTTTTTTAGCAGGACCAGGTAAGGTCCCATCTTTTCCAGCAGAGCCTGGGGGGCTGATTTACAGAAGCTGACATATTCTTCCCAACATAAGCAAAGATGTGTCGAAGTTAAGCTCACTTCAGTTCTTTTTCAACTGACTTACTTCCTCTGCATTATTTTTTTATCCAAAATTGATTTAAAACAGTTGTGAAAATTCAATCAGCCACACAGACACTGCTTCCTTAAACTCCACTGCTGGCACATCACAAATACTTTGGTACTCTGAAACCAGCTTTAGAACTGTTAACACTGTCTTAAACGTCTCTTCAGACCTTAAGAACAACAAAAAAAGGAAGCAGCAGAATCTGATTTTTTTCCTTAGAAGTCATTAGACAATTTAAATGAATTTAACAGAGGTAGGTCCACATTCTATTTCATAGAGAACAATGCCAAGAAGCAACTCTGAAGCGGGACAAATGAGCACTATGTCAGAAAACAGATCTACAGAAGCGTATTCACCCCTCGCCAAACAAAAAGATTCCCCAAATTTGGTAAAAGCAAAAGAATGGAGCTGGAAAACTGGACAGCAGTCCAACAAAACCAGTGGAATGGCAAAAATAAATTAAAAAAAAAAAGAAAAAAGAAAGCCTCCCACTGACCTTCAGCAGCCTCTCAGTGACTGCAAAGGAGAGTTTAGACTGTTGGTCACTCAGTCCTTTGATGACAGTACAAAGCAAACGAGTAAAGGACAACAGAAGCGTGGCATCAAGATGTGGCATCACTGAAATTACACAGCCTCATTTAGCACATAAACTTCAGAAAATGTCTAATGAATGCCCCTTCCTTAGTACTCCTCTTCCACTGCAATATTGCACCACTTTGCTTTTCTTACCCACTTTTTTATAAAAGTTGAATCTAATAAAGGAGAAGTTAAAATTTTAAAAAAGCTTGTTATAAAAATTTGTCGTATAAAAATGCCAAACCCCCTAAGCCATATATACAAAATGTATCAGATTTATGAAAATAACTGGACCCAATTATATAACAAAACGATTTTATACAAAAAGGTACAAGATTGCATTCAAATGAATACAAATTAAATTTAAAAAAAAAAACAAACACCAAAAAACCCTTCAAAATGTCTCACTCACAGAAGATCTGGTTCTTTTAAATGTACAGGCATATAAAACAGTATCAAATTGTCTTGGGTCAGGCACGGTTTCCCGAGCGTTTCCCCTCCTCAGCGCTGAGCCCCGTACTTGGCAGACCAGTCCACGCGGCCGGGGATGGGCTGAGCCGGCGGCGGGAGAGGCATTAACCTCGGGGTGCTTTTTGGGGGTGAATCCAACACTGGCCGGCTGAGGTGGGGTCTTACCGACTTCAGAGAAGCATAATCTAAGGGAGAAAAGCAAACGCCATGAGGCAGAGGTTGAGCGAGCAGCTGTCCACATCGAAAAGGTCCAGGTCCTTATTTCTTCAGGAAATAAGCCCCTCTTTTTAATAGGATTTGCTGATGTGAAACAACAGTGGGTCAAATCACTAAAACCTTATCAGACAAGGAGCATTTAAATCATTGAGTCATAGAATCATAGAATTGTCCAGGCCGGAAGGGACCTCCAAAGGTCATCTAGTGCGACCTCCCCGCAGTCAGCAGGGACACCCCCAACTAGACCAGGTTGCCCAGGGCCTCATCGAGCCTCTCCTTGAATATCTCCAGGGATGGGGCCTCAACCACCTCCCTGGGCAACCTGTTCCAGTGTTCCACCACCCTCACAGTGAAGAACCCTCTCCTCATCTCCAATCTAAATCTGCTCCCCTCCAGCTTGAAGCCATTGCCCCTCGTCCTGTCACTGCAGGCCTTTCT